AATCTACAAAAGTAAAACCAGAAAACATTGATAAAATCCGTGCCGTTGTCAAGGATCTCCATTCTAGAATCCGTGTTGCAATCCAGAGAATTGATTATATATCAAAGAAAATAGAGGAGATAAGGGACAAGGAGCTTGAACCACAACTGGAAGAGTTGATTGGAGGGTATGATTGCTTTTCCATATCTCATTATATCATATCTCGTTAACATGCACATGAACTTGCAAAACTTTTGTACTGGCTCTAGAATACTTTTATGTGCATGCCTACTTGCAGTCTTGCACTAATGTCGTCCACAATTCTAATTTGAGAATCTGTAGAGAAACTCAGAATGAATCAATGTCTAATTGGATTAGTTAATGTGCTAAAAAAATCTGTCTCGCCAGATTTCTGGATCAGTCCAGATCGGTTACTATATGCAGATATCAATAATATCAACCTATAAAGGTGAGTCAAAGCTGCTACAGCCAATCCCAGGAGGAGGGGAGGAGGATGATAGAGAGGGGAGGAGGAAGAGGAATAAGTATAGTGGGAGGAGGGAGAATACAATAAAAAAGTTCACTACACTATTGGGTTGAATCTCTTCCCCTCAATTTTGTATGTGATGATAAAGAACCCTCTGAAGTTGGGTCATCTTCAAATATCACATTGGATACTCCATGTTTTTGTTTCAAATATATTGTTAACAAGTCTATATTAGTAATTTCTTTGGATCAATAAATGACATTACACTTGGCAAAGCTGCATAATGGAAATGTTCCTTGTAATGGTCCCAATGAACATGGCTTGATATTGTTACTGTTGATCTGTTAGTACAATGTTATTGTGGTATTGCATGGAAACCATGCATGTCATTTTTTCCTAAACATAATCTTTTGAATACTAACCTGTAATATAATCCAATCTTGATAAGAAATCTTAGGACTGTCTTAACTAATCCTGTTCCTATGAATCATGGATATAAGTATCCTGCTACTAAAAGATTGTTTTCATCATTGTTTGGTTAGATTAGCAGAAAAAAGCAAGCTGTTCCTCTATGCAGATCATAAATGTTGCTGTATTTCAACTTTGGCTGCTGTATTTCAACTTTGGCTATAGATAGCATGCCATCCCGATACTTGAGAGTTGTTTTCTTTTAGATTAGTTTAGGTTGACAGAATCCTGCTATTAATATATCTTTTAATTAGTATGTTGGTTAGACTAGCAGAAAAGCTAACATGGTGTTTCTCTGAACTCAGTGTGCAGATAGGATGTGATATTATTAGTTCAACCATTGAGACAAATTTTCTGCTATCAGGATATCTTTAATGTATCTTTTTCTAGAATAGCTTATGTTGATAGTAGCTGTTCCAAATATTCCTTTGTGTTGGTTGGGTAGGTACTAGGTAGAACACGCTAAATAATATAGGTGTGACAACAAAAATATTAATCCATATGAAACAATTTCAAGAATTCTCTCAATTGTTTTGTTGGACATTGTTCCAGGAATCCTCAACTGCATGTGTCCTTTTCTCTGCTGGGCTTTGTAGAATTTCTAACGAAGCCCTCCATAATATTGGGAGTTTCATGTGGTCAATACAAGATCTTCTTTATATGCATTTGTTGAATCTTTGTTCTGTATGTGATTCAAGACTAGATGAATAGATTTTTTTTTTTTCAAATTGGATCTTGGTTTATGGACTACTTTGGAATACATACACATTACTTCGTCCTTTATAGTGGTTCGGTCAATCGTGACCTACATCCACTCCTCCGATTCCTCTTCCGTCGAGGCCACCGGCATCCACTAACGATCTTCCTTTACTAGGCGAAGATCAACCTCCTTCTTACACCCCTCTTCTCCTTTTACCGAGTTTAGGAGACAACCCTTACAAGCACTCACTCTCCACTCTTAAACAGAATTCTAACACTTAAGCTAGAGGAGGAAAATTCTAGAGATTGCAGTAGCGTTTTCTCACTTTTAATCTCTCTGTGCTTGTGTGTTTTACCCAGGGATGGGAGGGGTATTTATAGGCTCTAAACTGGTTTGAATTTGGAGCTCAAAAATGTCATCTCCTAGATTTCCGGGGTCCTGGCGGTACCACCTCCTGACTGAGGCGGTACAACCGCCTGGCAATTGTCCCTACTAAGTTTTCTGGCGATATAAAAAATAGTGCCTTGGAACATAGTATTCTTGATCAAATATAGAAACATGATCATCTTTTACAAAAGAAACAGGAGAAACCTGAGAAATATTGTTATGAGCTCAAAAGAGAAAAAAATCTATCAAGGCTCCACATGCTTGAACAAGGGAAAGCTGCAGAATCATTTTTGAGACACCTTGCAAGTGGTCTCTTGTCACCAAATTTTATTTATGAGACTATGTGGCCCATTGGCCAACTAGAATTGAGAATGTACTTCTACATGGGAATTTGAAGTAATAGAAATAAGAACAAGGACCAAACCTCAAAAGAAGTCAAGAAAGATTTTCAAGAGAAATTTCCACAAATTTCATCAATATCTAAGAACCCGGTCATATCAAATGCTAGATTTTCATTAACTTAAAGATAAAAGCACAGCAAAGGTTAAAAGATTAGAAACTATGAGGATGGTAATACTATGGCATTATTGAAGCAGGAAAAGAGGTGGTACACATTTGTTTGACCAGTTCCAGTGCATTAGGAAATAAAAAAAATAGGGTTCTTATAAAAAATTAGCAGACGCTTCAATAACAAACAACGCGAATTGGTAGTTTGTGCAGTAATTAGATTTTCTAGACCCACAAGATAACATCTTATATAGGTGAACTCCTCTATTTGCAGTCATTGAAACTATCAACGAGTTTGTACTTTGTAATAAGCACCTCTTTCTCAGCTCGTGTAATCTCCTAACGATGCCATCTAAAACTAACTATAGGTAACTGAAGTTTTCGAAAAATGGAACAGTAAACAAAATCTCCACAACATTTATAGCTCACCATGCAACTGACAATAAATAAAGGATTTCAGACTGCATGGTGCTTTCATAGTACACCAATGTTCTAGAAAATTGCAGGCTGGTAGGCAGGTGTCCATAATGATATGCACTGCATAGGTGCTACACAAACATCTATGCAACCACCAAGAAGTCGAAGAAATTTCAGAACTTTGGGAAATACATGTCGTAGAACCACATACATTACAGAAAAAAGAGGGGAATATTTACGACATGGACCTGTATATTTTGTACTCATTAATTTCGCTGCAGCCAATTTCTGTAATGAACTTATGATTTATGAAGAGTAGAAAAAACTACTGCTTTTTATCTGGTTGTTTGACATGATTACCCTTTTCTGTATTTAAAATTTGCAAATGATCTCAAATGCATTGCATTATCAGGGTTTGATATTTACTTTTTGCTAATATGTGTGCAGCCTAACAAGAATGTGGAGAACAATGCTTGACCACCACAGCCGTCAGTACAGCATTATCTCGTTGGCTTTCAACAATGGCAGCAACAAACTGTCAATTCAGTCTGAATTGGAGTGTCGGGCCACAGTCCTTGAGTTTGAGCTGAATTCTCTGGGTTCAAATTTCACAGAATGGGTATCAGCACACAAATCCTATCTCCACGCCATCAATGAGTGGCTTCGTAAAGGCTTAGTATTATCACAAAAACGGAACAGGTCATTTAGGAGAAGGCCTCCAGAATTTTGTCCAAAAAGAGACATGGCTCCTCCCATCTTTGTTACTTGCGAAGATTGGTTGCTGCTGCTGAATAGTCTGCCTACCAAGGAAGTGGAATCTGCTATAAAGGATCTAGTAACTGTGACAACCCATTACTTGCCTTGCCAAGAGAAGAAGGGCTATGGGACTTCAAAGTTATCATTCTCATTACGACAAAATGCAGAGCAGGGTGATAAACTAGGAGAACATGTTCTCACAAATGATACACATGCCAATGGTAGTCTCGATTATGGCAACCTGAAATCAGTTCTCGTGGAGTTCCTAGATAAGCTGAAGTCTTTTGCGAAGTCATCGGTTTCAGGGTATGAAGCTCTCCAGAAGTCGATCGATGAGTTTCGAGTTTCTTACGAGAGAACTGTGCTTCGAACATGAATTCTGCCATTTTCCAACGTCTTTGGGGCAGGGTAAAAAAAAGTAAAACCAAGGTGGACCAGAGAATTGCATGGTAATTAATCTTTGCTGAATAACTGGTGGTATGAAGCCCTTGAAGTATATTTGGGAGGGTCCTTGGCTGACTGCTTCCTTTGTACATCTATTTTGCAGAATAAAAGGGCTCTTGATGATGTTGATGTAAGTAGGGATGCTAGTCGATGATTCGAGTGCAATATAATCTAGATTAGCCAGGCATAGGAAATGGAAGAGGTTATTAGTATAGTGAGTGGCCAGTGATACCTGCAAATATTCGTCTTACCTTCAAAAAAAAAAAACTCAATGCTGCTTATTGGACATCCATTGCTGAAGGCGGGTTTGCTGTCATGTATGTGATTCTAAAACTGTTGCTGTATATGATTGACTTATCTCTCTTTCTATTTAATTTTTTCCTGAAAATTCATGCTTTAAGGGTCATGAAAAAAAATATATCTGATAACTAAATCGAGTGATAATTAATGAAAAAGTGGAGATAAAACAATAAGGATTTACATATGATTGTTATGATACGATCCACATTTGTTATGGTAGACCTTAAAGAAGATATATGTTTATTAATTGTAACGAGTGTGTCTAATGGATTTTTAATTAATATAGGCTTATATCAAGAATTAATTTTAAAATTATATTCCTTTTTATTGATAATGTATGAACTGAGATGGTGTGTGTGTGTGTTGGTAGTGATCACTTCTAAATAAATTATTTACTTAAAAAAATATAATATATTTAAAACACTCTGAATAGTCTCCACCAAAACAACAACAAGTTTCAAGTCCTTAAAAGGGTACTAATATAATTAGAACTATAAAGATAGAGATTAATGTATACGAGTCGATAACTTCGGGGGACCGTATGTGCGTATTGCGAGGTGTCTATGGAGAAAACTTCCAATAGTTTGGCAAATTCCTAAAGACACCCCCGGCGGCGTTGGCGACCAATCGCGTGTTCCGTTTGTAAAGGACCGCGGTCCGAGAACGATCGCGGAGAGGAACCCTAGATTCACTACCGGAACTCCGTGATCCACCCACGCCTTTCTAGGGTTCGAAGCCGCGATTCCGTCGTTCGGTGATGGAGATCCTGAACAGGTTGAGGAACCTGGACGCCTACCCCAAGATCAACGAGGATTTCTACCACCGGACGCTCTCGGGGAGCCTCATCACCATCGTTTCTTCTGTCGTCATGCTGTTCTTGTTTCTCTCCGAGATCCGTGAGTTCTTCTTGTTATCTGTTTATTTTCTCGGCGTTGTTTGTAGTTCTCGATGCGTTTCGGGTTAATGTGCTGGGAATGTGGTGGTGGAATATGGCGGAAGGCGATTCGGTTTCGAGGGGCTGTTTTGGTTTGAATCTTGTAGTCTGGTGCAGCTACCTCGTCACGATTTGGGGCTTGGGGTCGTTAATTTCTTCGCGTTTAATGGATTCAGTAAACCAGGCGAATAATTTGCTACTCCACACTGGTTCTCTGTCTTTGAGATTTCCGGTTGGATTTATGTTAGTTTATTCAATAACCTGGTAATTCTTTTGTTGGATTGCGAGTTGGATTTTCTTGATGGTGCGATCGATTTTTGTTGGATTCTTTGGAATCAAGAGCAAGTGAAATGTGTAATCGAACACGGACAAACTAGTGCCAAAACAATACACAGCAACAGAGGGGTAAGCGGTGTCCGGTAAGGTCTCTAGGCATATTTAGGCAGTAGATACCACACATAGGATTCTTTATAAGATGAGGATCACCTCGTTTTAAAGCTTCCTGGTAGGCTTTCGAAGTTCCTGTACCATGCGTATGCTGCTCCAGAGTTCAACTTGTCTTGGCTGCATGAACCAGAAAATTGATGTTGGTCCCTTCACTCAACACCATCCTATATGCACACTACTTTTGTCATTGGCTTGTGTATTTGTGCAGTATAACTGAGTTCTCTCTTCCAGAGAGCTCTATGGGTCAATATGTTTTGATGTGTGCTTTCTGAGTGTAGTCCCTTAGGAGTACTTAATAATCACTTCAGATTTTTCTTCTCGTTATGCTCATCCAGTTACTAGGAAGCAAGTGAAGAAAGAAGTTATCACATATATTTCTATATTTCTGCATCAATTAATTTTGAAATTTCATTTTTATTTCAATCCTTGTGAGTTTTCTGTTTCCCTGATTGATGCCGTAATGAATAAGTTCTTCTAAATATGCTCTCTCCAAGTTTTGTGGTATTAACTTTTTTAAGCATGATATGTTATTAGACTTCTTTTAAGAATCTGGATAATAATGTAGTTTAAGATATGCAGATCTAGTATTGGGTATATAATCACAATAATACTTTGGCAATTACTGTGGGTTGCTGATGAAAATTGGCTATTTGATCATTTAAAGTGTCATAACTTTCCATATCTATATTAGTGCTACTGATGTTCTTGAAGAGAGTGTTTATCCATGAGTAGTCCCTTCCGATGTACATTAATTCATCATTGAATATCATTCTTACAAAGGCAAGTGCTTCAAAAGAGTTGTGGCAATGATGCATCGATATCAAGATGCTTATGAGTTGAATAGGAAATGCATTCTTTATTTTAAAAGATTCTGAGCAATCTATGTCACATTTCTAAACTCCTATCATTAACTATGTCATTTTAGAAGAAAATGAATGAAGGAGTATGTGTTTCAAATGTTGATATGAGTTCTTGAAATCAACTTTCATTTTTCCTCTTAACCTTTTCTCCCTCTTTATTTTTTCTTGGATTCCTAATTGATGACAGAATTATTGAACCACTAAATGTTTCTCCTTTATTTTCTGGTTGAGCAACTATTTATAGCAGGAGATTTTAGATGACTGGTCTATATTGGCCCATCTACTTAAATTTACTGTCACAGAGGATAATCCTGGCATTTTCTCAAAATATTTGCAGTTGATAATGCAAAAGCTTATTACAAAAATTCTAGTAATAATGATGAGGGAGTTTGCTGAGGTCTGTATTGGCTTGGAAGTATTTTCGAAAAACTCTTCACCTTTTTAGTTTTGTTCGGTCATGTATCATATCATAGAGTTACTTATTACAACAGAGGTGTAAATTTTAAAATTTTAGACTCTATGATTTTGTTTTCCTGCGAAAAATGTTCTATAGGATTATTATACATGTATAAGAAAATTGATAGCCTGAGTTATAATCAGATACATTTTTGAGTAAATTCATGAACTATAACTGAGAATCTTTTACATAAAGTCAGCAAGCATTTTACCATTAAGCTTTTTGCAAACTTTTGCAACCTCTTACTGTTCAATGTTGTTTGCTATTATATTTTTTCAGGAATGTATCTTTATTCAGCAACTGAAACTAAGCTGATAGTAGATAATTCAAGAGGGGAAATGCTGCGTATCAATGTTAGTATATCGTCCTAAACATCACATTTGATTTGTCTAATTAGACACATTCATGATTGCTATGTCCATTTAGTTTATCATTATATATATATATATACATATGTATATATGTATATATATATATACATATATATATATATGTATATATAATATTTTATATACATATATATATACATATATATGTATACATATATACATATACATGTATACATATATATATATACATATACATATATACATATATATATATATATATATATACATATATATATATATATATACATATATATATATATATATATTATAGTTAGTCATGTGCTGCATCTTGTTATCCTTGTTATGTTCTTGAAGATTTCCTTGGCATCTATGCTTATTCCCTTTTGCTTATTAGTCTACCAAATAATATGATAGGAGTATAGTGGTTTTTTGTAGATTGTTGTTTTCTCTTTAACATGATACAAGATCACAGAAGTTCAAGATAGAATATTTATGTTGGTTTATCGTCAAAGTATTTGATATACTGTTGATTTTGCAGTTTGATGTTACCTTCCCATCACTTCCTTGTTCACTTCTTAGTGTCGATACAATGGATATCAGTGGAGAGCGGCATTATGACATAGTATGTATACACAATATTTTATACTATATGGTTCTATTTTAGTTTCTGTGTTTTTATGTCAAATATGTTCTGTATATAGAATAAATGTCAGTGAAACTATCTACTTTTTGCAGAGGCATGATATTGTGAAGATAAGAATGGACCATCTTGGTAATGTGATTGAATCAAAACAAGATGGCATTGGTGCACCAAAGGTATACTTTTTGAGATATTTTGCCACTTAATGTGAGTTCTCATATGTATACAATCTTTATAGTTAATGTTCCATGAATCTTTCACCTCTTTATTGATTGCTACATCTTTTAGCTTTTTATTATGCAATTTTCATTTATTGTATACCATGAGACAATTCAGGTGGTGGAGCTTTATATAAAGAATTATTGATAGTCTCGTTGACATAATGTTGGATTTTGATGTTAAACATAGTGGATTTGCTGCACTATTGGGAAGACAAGGAGCATTTTGTGAAGCCCACTATTGATAATTAGTATCGTCAAAAAATAATTCCAGGTCTAGTTTTGCTTTATGGGGTTAATGGAAGTTACTTTTGACTCTTGATTTACTTAGAGGTCGATAAGCATTGAGATCTATTCTGGCTTCACTTCTCTTTCAGGAGAATAGATTGCTTGTTGAGATTAGGTGTTCATATTGACTTTACATGCTGATAAATGAAGCAGTTCTTTAAACAAGACATCAGATGGACAAATTTTATCTTACCAGACAGGCAACTTTAGGCTTGTTCCAGTGAACATAATATTCAAACAAAGTGACTAATAAATTCTGGCTATTTCAATCTTACAAAAGGTAAACCTTTAGGTTTCTAAATCTTGACCAAGGATTTATATGTAAAGACTTCCAAATGTATGAATTAAGATTAGCAATCCTTTCTGACTATCTTTTTTTTTTTCCCTTTTTGATTGTAAAATTGTTTCTTTGGTCAATTACTGATCAGTCAATACCATCTGTTTTAGTTGATCCCTATCTTAGGTCCCAAATCCAGTCCTGTTCTTGATAATTTATAATTAGCCATTCATTTTTTAAATCTTTGCATCAGGTGAGTAGAATATGCATAACATGAAATAATGAGCTAAATCTTTTGTAAATTTATGTATTTACAAGCTATGGTATCCAATTTTTAACATTTTTCCAATTCCTAATGCAGTCATTTTCTCAAGGCATGTCTTTAGATTTGTTGTTGGTATTAGTAAGAAATATTCAGGAAGGTATCTGTACTGCTCAATTTTAATAGGTGTTTGTATTGTTCAATTTCAGTGGAAGGTATTTGTATTTTCTCAATTTCAGTAGGTGTTTGTATTGCTCAAGTCGTGTTGAAATACTGCTCAATATGAGTCGATTTGACTAGTTTGAAGGTATTTGTATTTACAAATTCAACCTTGAGCTCAAATTAAATCATAGACTTCTGATGTCAAGTTTCACCTGACAGTTAGTTATATGTCATTGGCTGAACTTAATAAATAATTTGAGACCCTAGTGTGCTGTGCCTTTGGTATTTTATAAGCTGCAAGTCGGCCTCATAAAAGATTGTTGAGGAAGTATATTAAATGATCTTCTTTGAAGCCACCTTGTTAGAAAGTATTGCACATGATGGCCTGGTTTTCTGTGAACAGAAATATGACTGATCTGTTTGGCCATCTTCCTTTTGTGGGAAAATGTATTTCAGTGGACTATGTTAGAGATTTAACAAGTTCTCTTCAAAAACTAATTTCTTCAGCATTTATAACAATCAAAATTTCTAGGACCCATGGCAATCTAGTGGTGGATAGGGCATGTTCATGTGAGGAAGAACTCCACCTTTAGTTTATATTTTCAATGGTCTATGTGCCAATTTGCACAGGGTAGAACAAATTACACCAAAAAGGTATTATCACAACAGTGTTACTGGCATTGGAGGTGCCAACTCATTTCAGCCAGCATGTAGGTGTGGCAATGGACACAACATAGTATTGATGATGCCCAAGGGTATTGACATGCACTTCTCCATGAGACAGTTGTCCTTAATTCTTGTAGATCTGTTGATATCATTTGATGTTCTCAAAAGTATATAACCTAGTATAAGGGTTCTGTGCTGTGGGTCCATGGTTTGGCCCAGATTTGAGTTTCTTGTGGCTTTTATAGGGCATAAGTCACCTAGCAAAAAAATGAATTTTGCTTTATATATTTTCCTCAGCTTGAAATCTATCAATTCACTTAAAAAATTTTACACTACCATAGATAATTTCTTGAGGCACACTTTTTTTATATGCTTTCCTTTTGTTAGCCAATTTGTGGTTTTGCATCTGCTATTATTCTAAAATTTTTAGGGTTATATTTCTTTTAGATTGAAAGACCTTTACAGAGGCATGGTGGAAGACTTGATCACAATGAATCTTATTGTGGTTCTTGCTATGGGGCAGAAGTGGTATGTGCTTAAATCATGTTTCACTTTGTAACTTAAGTCTTACTTCCAGTGCAGCTAATTTAGCCTGAGTGTCAATTCCTTTTCTAACTTGAGGCAGCAATAGTAATGACTGTTGTCCAATGGCATCCTAAGATAGTGCAGTTCATTTTCCTTTGTAGTCAGATGATGATTGCTGTAACTCATGTGAAGAAGTTCGTGCAGCTTACCAGAAGAAGGGGTGGTCTCTGACAAATCCAGATCTGATTGACCAGGTTTGCAAAAATGCTTTCCTTCACCTAAATTTTGGTTTTGGAGTTACCATAAATAATTTCTTATGAGCTTTTACGCTGCTGAATTAACCGTAGTATTGTAACTGTCATGCCATATATTGTCATTTGAATAAAGTTTCTGAATCCTCAGGGAATGTTTTTAAGAATGCCCCCACAGACATGAAATGAGACCAATGAGTTGCTTACTGATTCTCATGTGAATCACACCTTTTGTCTCTGTGGGTGGACATTCTTGGGGATGAGAAACAAAGGGATTTGTCTCTCTTACTTCTACAAATGGAGAGTTTGTAGTTGATCTAGAATTGGATCATGGGATTAAGAATATGTGAATCTTTTTGAAACCAAATGGGATTTCCAATTTGTCAGAAGATGGACAGAAGCTGGTTTAGATTTCCAAGATACTGGAAATGGCAAAATTTGTCATAACCACTTGCGAGTGGCCTGACCAGTCACTAATTGATTACACTACTGAGATCACTTGGTTAGCCAGGATTAGTAAAATCTGTGATCAATCTTGATATATCCACTGAAAGGGGGGTTTTTAGTTATCAGACACTACCAATCCCCAATTAATCCTGCAAGTTATTATTTTCATCATTAGTTTAGGGTTTTTCTCTATAATTCAAATGTGTCTTCTGCCCTTCTCCCTTGTATCAGAATTCATACATGACACATCATATAAAATTTTCATTTGTAGTGAACTCAACAGTGATATGACCAGATCATAAGTTTGTACATGTATCTCCAATGTAATATTTTTTACTAAATAGTTGGACAATTGCTGCTGATGAACACCGACAGAAAACTCGTGATGCTTTTTGCCAGCATGTAAGCATCAGAACTGGACAGTCATCTCTCCACATATCTAATTGGAGATTCAAGTCCAGCTTCATGTGATGAATGTAGGTCATCCTAATGCATCTTTCTATGAAGGTTTGACTGTGCTGTACCCCACCTCTTGTTAAGTCTGTGGTGTCTTGTTGTAACTCTCTTGTGCTGGTCTCTGAAGATTGTTCCTGGGCCTATGAGACTTTGTTACTTTTTTGGTTTGTATGTACTTTTAAGCATCTGACTTGGTTCTTTGTAATCAACTTTAATCACCAATTTAGTGCAAGAGAGAGGGCTTCATCGGCAAAATAAAGGAGGAAGAAGGTGAAGGATGCAACATCAATGGTTTTCTGGAAGTCAGTAGAGTAGCTGGAAATTTTCACTTTGCTCCTGGAAAGAGCTTTCATGGATCTTATAGTTTCTTGCAAGATTTGCTGGGCATTCAGACAGACAATTATAACGTGAGTAGAGTACTAAATTAACCACTGCTGCTTCTTTTCCCTTGGTTGTAGGTGATTTTCTGTTTCAGCATCAGGTATAAAATTTACCTGAGGATCAACTTTAATCATTTTCTCTTTTGACTAACACCAGATAAGCCACACAATAAACAAATTATCCTTTGGAAAGGAGTTCCCAGGTGTAGTAAACCCACTTGACGGGTAAGTTGGGCAGGCTATCTTCATTTATTCTACTTGCTGCTTTATCTCTATTAATTTTGGATCGTTTTAGATTCTGTTCTAACGTGTTGCATGAAAAATCCAGTGTGAAGTGGATACACAAAACTACATCTGGGATGTATCAGTATTTCATCAAAGTGAGCAATCATTTTAAGTTCTTCTGTTTTCAATATGCAACTTATTTAATTTGCATCTTTTAGCCATGGTAATTTCTAATTCGATTAGAAATTACCATGGCTAAAAGATGCAAATTAAATAAGTTTGCTATGTAATTCGATTAGCCTTAAACTAATGAGTAATTTCTAATTCGATTACTATGTAATTCCTTGAATACCATTTATGTATTTAATATAGCATGTTTGCTTTTTATTGTACTCTCATTTTAATTTTCTGGAAAATGTGTGACATGATCATTCTGATTTGATATCACTAGTATGGACGTAAATATTACTTTGTTTTTTCCTGCTTCACAGGTTGTTCCTACAATCTATATTGATATTAGAGGACATAAAATTCACTCAAACCAGGTAAGAAGTTCGTGAACTGTGTTTTGTATTCCTGTTCTTTTAAGGATGGATTTGCACTGAAGTGTGTTCTTTTGCAGTTTTCAGTGACAGAGCACTTCAGAGATGCAGATGTGTATCCAAAGCCCCCACCTGGGGTATACTTCATTTATGACTTCTCACCAATTAAGGTAAGCTAAAAGTAAGAATGGACTATATTGTTGCACACTTGTTCCGCAATGTATTGGATTATGTGTTTTAAAGAGCTGAGATCAGTTCTTTTTCTTATTTTGCAGGTTATATTTACAGAAGAAAATGCATCACTCTTGCACCTTTTCACAAACGCCTGTGCTATAATAGGAGGTGTGTTCTGATCTGTCAATGTGCTGCTACTCTTTCTTGAACTTAACCAAATGAAACTAGGATATGGTATCCCCTAATCTGACAGTGAAATAGCTGCTCACACTGCACATCACCTTACACGACATATAGTTAAAACATTAACACTTATATGCATGAACATTATCCTTCTCTAACCAAGAAATTGAAAGGAGATTATCTAAAATTGAACTTGTTTGGAATTGATCAGGTGTTTTTACTGTTGCCGGAATCATTGATGCCTTTGTCTACCATGGTCACCGTGCAATCAAGAAGAAGATGGAGCTTGGCAAGCACACCTGATATGGTTAAAGCCAGTGTTTCATTCCTTCTTCGACCATGTGATGTTGTATGAATCATCGGAATGAATTCTGCAAGGGGCAAAAATCACCTGACCCAATCTGCTGGAGTTCAGAAACCATTGTTATTAGTTCGATTCTTGGTCATTTTGATCATTGCATTTGGTTGGTCATCCTAGTGAAACTGTTCTCGCAGCAAATCCAATATATGATGTATAAATTCTTTTGTGGGCATTCCCTCCCGATGAGAGAACTGAGAAGTATTTGATACAAGTCAAATTTCAAATGAGAAACCCTGATTGACATTTGACTTTCAACTAAATGGATACCTGGTGACGTAGTGTTGAAAGGTTGGTGCGTTATGCTCATCTGTTAAAGATACATATTCTCTTAATACTTCTGCCCTGGGAGGTAGGTCATCAGTGTTGAAGATAATCAACCCTTCATTTAAACCAACACAAAAATGCAGGTATGTGTACGCATGCCTTTTATGTTAGTTATTTTTTGTTTAAAATATGTCTTTGCAAAACTCGAAAGTTGATATTTTTAGTTAATCTTCACTAGTTGACTGTCTTTGACTACTATAGGAGACTTTAATTGAGATTAATGTCCTGTTAGGCAGTGACCATCTTATGGTTAAGATAGCTGGATTATTTTGGACCTTTAGGTAATCATCTGTGTCTAATGGACGTATTTCTTTTGTCCAAATACGACAGAGAAATGGTGAAGGAAAATGTGGATTGTGAGGTCTCTCTTACTGGAAAACTTCTGTTTCAGTGAGTATTGATTATGTTGTTGCTAACTTGGATTATCCTATTTTTTAAGTGTCTCTATGCTTATGGAAGAGTAATGTTTCTGAAAGATGAACACTTGTTGCTCGTCCATTGGTGGACAGAAGGTTTGGTTTGGTTGATGTTAAACGGTGTATTAGTTGATCATGTGCCGTCTGCGCACACACTATGGTGCATGTGTGGAGAATCTTTGAACTGATGCATCGTTTCAAATGCATAATAGATAGAACGTGATTTACATGTACTGCATCTTTTACAGGGGTGCTGCATCAATATGTGGTGTCGGCTCTTGTTTACTGTTCCTGCTACTTAGGTGTTCTTGTTGAGCATGGTTGTCAGGTACTTTTAGCTATGCTGCAACAATATCACCTGGCTCTTTTGACTTGCAGTTTGGGTTTTTGTGCTTCCAATATGGGATGTTCGTATTAACGTGACAGATTTCATGATTGTTTGGCGCCTGTCGCTGATCAGTCTTCTCTGCATGTTTCCTCTCGTGGAGTGCAATGTTCAAGGGTAAATAACTTGCAATTAGGGTTATGGTGCTTTCGATATTGGATGTTGATATTAGCGGGTCAGTTTTTGGTCTTCGTCTGCATGTCTTTTCTTGGAGTGTAGTGTTCATAGTCATATTATTTTTCCTTCTAAACCAAAATGCCAAGTCTTTTAGCTTGCTCTGATTAGCCAATTGATGGTTATGGCTCGGAGTAGCCGTTACAGCAAACAGTGCTTGATTCGTGATGGGTTATCTACGTAGCAAGACGGACGATGGTATGTTGAAACTGTGGCATTTACTGTGTTCTATTCTATCATACAGCTATTGCTAAGCCAGAACGACTGCATGATGCTTTTCAACTTGGAAATTGTAGAATTTTAGCTTATCCCATGAGATGCAAGATTTCGTTCGATTTATCATTATATATGAAAGGTGGATTGGTTCAGCTCAATTTTGGAGGTTAAGAAAATTTTCCAGTTCAATGTGGAACCGATTCTGAACCGTTAAGTTTTCCCGAGACAACAATTTGGCTGCAGTCCATATGTAGCAGTGAAGAGAAGCTGCTATCTTGATGAGCAGCTATATATATATATATATATATATATATCCCTCAACATTTTATGAATGGAACGTCCATATATTACAACAAAAATAAGATATATAATAAAACGGGATGGAGAATTTTTCTCCTCTAATATAAATAATAAACGTGTCAGGAAGAAAGAATTCCATAGAAAAGAATGAAAAATTGTAGTGCCTCAGTCAGCATAACCTGAGGGAATCCTAAAACAATACAAAGGTGAAGAAGGAAACCCCCAGCAACTTCTTTTCGGTTCTACTGCATGTGCCAAAGACTGCTCTCAGCTTAGGATTCAACATGTGGGATGATGGAAGAAAAATAGATCAAACTTTGCCATCGTGTTCTCCTGATTCTGAGAGCAGTCCGTGCTTCTGAGATTTGTCGATGGGCAATGAGTAACTCCATCGCTCTTTCCCCCCTGGTTTCGACGATGCATTTCCGTACCACAACATACCTATTACTGCTAAGATCATTCCGAAGATTACCTGTAAATTGAGACCCTCCCTTCCAAATAAGAAGAATCCCAAAACTAAGACGAGGATCGTCTTCATGTGCCCAAGGACCTGAAATGACACTGCTGTGAATCGTCCGATGCAGATGAACTGGCTAAGGTTGGTCCCTACAGCAATGATGCATGACAGAAAGATGAAGAACTGCAGCACACAAATGTTAAAGGAGTTAATAGATGAAGTGTTTGCAGAAAACAGCAAATATTATAGGAGTCAATTTTTATTATGAAAACAAATCATAACATAGGAGAGAACATACACAAGGAGCCACCATAAAAGTTGGCAGTTTGAAAACACCATCAGGTACTTACCACTACGGTTACGTTGTAATCAAATGCATCCACCCTTTTGCTTGTTAACCAATAATCAACAAAAGGCCCTAACATCAACAGCGACATCGCCTGAGCTGGAGCAGTATGCCCGATGAGGTTGAACGATCCGAGAGAGTATTTCTTTTGAAGAGAATGCACATACTACATAAGCCAGTGAATACAATCAGCATCCGAATTTCAAAAAAAAAAATATAAAAAAACCACTCAGTCTATACGCTATGCAAGAAAACATTATCAACAATGCACAAATGAGAGAGCATTTAGCAATCTGCATATTTATTTACTCACATATTGTTGCAAAGAAGTGCTCCAAACTGCTATGGTCGCAGCTATGAGCCCTCTAGAATTCACGCTCACATCAGTAACTGTGCATATAGCAACTCCAACAAGAACCACCACTATGCTGAGCTTTGTTGCCCTAGAATAACGAATCTTATCAAACACAACCTCAAGAAGACATGATACTGGGATCATACTCAGCTTCGCAATCTGTCATGACATTACAAAAGTTTGTCACTTTGTGAAATTATTTTCCATACCTAAGACAGTGGAAACTATAGTCTGTGATCAGAACGAACCTGATAAAATCCGACGGAATTCCACATCAGACTAACATTCATCCCGACGATTGATAAGTTTGCAAAAAATACATATTTTATAAGCTCAGATAAAGGTAAATGAGAGGTTTGAATGTATCCCAGCCACTTAAATACAATAGTCATGAGTGTGGTTGCGACAAAGTGCAGACCAGTTAATGTTGTAGCTGCAGTTAAGACAGTGCACCACAAAAGAGTTATAAAACAAGCAAAAACACTTGTAAGAGTTAAATGAAATTAAAACTAACATTTAAGTTAGGAACTTCACCAATGGAGTTTATAAATCTATCATTTTTCTCAATTTTATATTTGCTAAGGATTTCATTTTCAAAGCAAGTATGAGGAACAATTCAAGAGCAAAGCAGAGTTAGTATACAAAGCACTTTCTCCACCTAAATCAAAGGACGAGGAAAAATTCAAAAGCAAAGATAAATTGTTATTCCAAAGCAATTTAGTCATCTAAATTCAGGATCTTAAAATCATAAAGCAGTCAAGACCTAATAAAGGATTGTGGTTGCAAAAGTATAAATTATTCAATTTTCACTAGACTAGATAGTAAAATTTTATATACATGCCATTAGACAGTACTAGAGTTGAGCTTTAAGAATTCTTTATGCATCATTTTTTTCAACTGAAATTTTATTCATCTCCCGTTGATTTATTATCAAAGTTTTATAAAGAACAACCTAAAGTAAATAAATAACTATTGATCACAACTAATTAATAACTCACTAGTATTGGTTTATGTCAGTAACTTGTGATGCATAGGACATATTGTTACACTGAGGCAAGCAATGAAAGGTACATTTACAAAATGGAAGGGCACTGCCAAAGAATTACAGGTGATATTTATGGACTCTGCTTCATATAGCATTATTTTCAATGCTATTCATAAAATTCATAAACCAACTTCCTTGGTTTATTAGACTTGTTTATTATATTTACCTTGATTTACAAAGTTATATAAGCATGCAGAAATACACATCCATTTCGCTTGTGACTTATGCTAAACATTGACATAAGTTGCAGTTGAATCTAAATAATGGTGAAAAGTTAATTGTTTTTATATAACAAGTTTTCTGATTATTGTGTTTCATAATTGATGTTTTCATTTTTTATATAACTGTTTGTGTAGAATATTTGCATACAATGACTAAGACAACAGCAGCTTGAACTAGTGGATTGACATGAAACAACAATTAGAAATATCCAGTCTACAGTGACAGCACCTTATGCAAAAAGGTCAGAAGATATACCAAAGAAAATGGCTAAATGCTGTCAAGTATGAATTGCTGAAGAACTGTAGTAGTTCATGTGGTAAAAAAATATTAGATGAAAGGAACACCTTACTAGACATGGACACCTAATATAAGAGAGCAGAATATAATGTTACATAACTGTTGAGCATAAACCATACCTGTCAAAAGTACTATTTAGTATTTACAATGCACAAAAAAAAACAGAATAACATTGAACAGATCAGCTGAAAATCCAAAAATCAGCCATAAATAGCACAATTGCAACAATATAGATATTAAACTTACAAATTTTCATACAAAGAAAAAAAGAAAGCAAAATATCAAGAGCCATTAATCTTTTAATGTCTATAGTTTCAAGATAACATAATCATTAAAGAGAAAACAAGGAATCTGGCATAATTTCTCACCAAGGAACACTTAACTCAATAAGAATTGTACATAATGAAAATGGGACACTGTTTCTTACAAGCATGGAATTTTTTAGATATCTACTTGTTTTATGCCCTAAATATTATGAGAAAATCATAAAAAGGAAATTTCTATGGGCTTACCGAAACTGAATTGATGAGTAGCCATTAAGGCCTTGTTGACCATGATAACTCCAACAGATGTTAGAATATTGAACATCCAAGCAGCTGCATCTAACGGCGCCTTCCTATCACTCTTGCTTGCAGGTGCCATGGCGTCGATTGTGTACTACCGGTCAAGCTTAGTAGTTTATAAATCTCCAAACGATGGCTTGCATAGCAACACGGATGAACCTACATCAGAAACCACCAGCTCAAACAAAGTCAATTACTCGTTATGAACAATAAATGCATTTCAAAAGGCACTGATCTCAGCAGATATCCTCAAAATTTCCACTTAGATTTTCAATCCTTCAATTGTTATGAACTTCTATTGCATCATGGTTTCAATGTACAAAAAATTGTGATTCCTTTAATATGTCTATTTCTCCATTTATTTATACATTGATCTCAGAGGCACTAGAAATGAAAGAAAGTAGTCCAGAGGCAGCTCCACTCCACTGACAGAAAACCTCCAGATGTTAGACTTATTATAGGGGCCAAAATGCCCAATAGGGACATAAAATATAGGATCGTCAGGACAGCTCCACTTGACCTGTAAAACATGCGTCATTGAACAGATGAAGCAGACAAAACAGTGATTAGCTTTCGCAGGTAAACAAAACAATTCTACTTAACAATGGAATATCACAAGGTCTAACACTATTTAAAGGACGGATTTTAAGCTATATCCATCGAAGTACGTGCAACTTAATCTTGACCGCCCAATTGTACGGCATCTTAAGATAAAGTCAGCCTTCAAATGTCTTGCAATGCTATCAAGGAATCATCACATTACAGTCAATAAAGATCTACAGGCATGTCTATGAGAAGGAAAAGCCACCGAAGTCGGAGTGACTGTCGAGTTCGTTGATACGATTCATGCAAATAATGCAAGAACCCTAATACCCCACCAGGAATAGGGTAAAAAACCCTATAAAGTACATCGATCTCGACAGTTCAACTACCCAAAAGTCACTTGCATAGTCAGGGTATAAAGACTTATTTAAGTCGAATCTTGAATCCTTGATCCCTCGTTACTCTCCTTTTCTCCCTTTTCTACATCTTCACACCCTTCACAAAGCCCCTTTCTCTTAATCCGAAAAAACCTCAAGAAAATATTAGTCCGGCAGATTCGTCACCGACTGCTTCCTCGTAAGAATCAAGAAACCATTTCAGATCATAACGACAAAGCCCCCACAGCGATTCCACTGCTCACGCACCCACGAGCACATCGGAATCGTTCAAGATCGGGAAGAATGAAGAGAATTCAGAATAAAGGTAGAAACAACGACGATCGTCCGACGTATAACAGATCCAACTCACTGGATCCGGCCGAGAAAGATCAAAACCTAGCTCGGGCAAATCGTGGACCCGCGCCTCCTGCACCGACGCATTCGATCGCGTAAGGAACCTAACCGAGCGTTCCGATCTGAGACGCGTTCGGCAGCAGCGGGGATTCCTTCTTCTTCTGTTCGCCTCTCGATTTCTTTTCTTGCTTTTTTCTTTTTCCTCTCTTTTGGTCCGCGGAAATTATATATAAGTATATATGTATATATATAATATAAATTATACACCTTCAAAATGAGTGATTTTTATATTTATCTCTTTGAATTTAAGTTCATATTTTTCGAAAATAATTATTTATCCCTTGAAATTTATGTTTATTTGTTTATGTCAAGGTATATGCTGATGTTTAATAATAATATTTAGAAATACGATTAAAGCATGAAAAGAAAGGTGAAAAAGAAGAGAGATGAAAATAGATATAATAGAATGATGAATGAGGATAACAACAATAGTTTAGGCATTTGGGAATAATTAGTAATGATTAATTATAATTTATTGAATGGATGCCAAGAGACATACTTTAAGGGTTTAATTATTCGGAGATATATTTACTATATTAAATTGGAGGAAGAAATTAGACTATTTCCAAAATATGATCAATAGACATGCAAAAAGAAGTTATTTTTTATATAAATTTTGATAATTATCTTCCATCTCATTATCTTAATTGAGCAACATTCCGATAAAAAAAATTGCATAATTTAAACTTATTTTAGATGACAACTACATTCAAGCACAACCCTAACAAAAATTAAATTAAATTAACTTACTACCACAACCAAAAATAAACTGTATTCTCGACCAGGTGTCGTCAGCATGGACATCTGTATCTATCCTGGCCAATGCTTCTAATTCTATCCGACTGCACACCAAATGGTTCTCTTGACACATGCCACCATCTCATTAGAAGCTATAGATTTCATGGATGAGAGCCCCAATCTCTCCGGTTCAAAGATTTGCTGCCTCTCCTCTTCTTATAGCCTCAAACCCTTACCAATTCCCTCAAAGCTCATTCTAAGAGGCAGCAAAAATGGCAGCAGCAGCAGCAGAGCTGGCTCTCATGAAGCCCATCAACCCCATCTCCAAGTTCAGAAAAGGTGGCACCTTGAGGCCTCGCAGCTCCCAACTCAGAGTCTTGGCTTCTTCGCAGTCCGGCGCCACTGCTGCCGCCGCGCCTAAGAAGAAGAAGTCGGGCAAGACCGAGATAAACGAGACACTGCTGACGCCCAGGTTCTACACCACGGACTTCGACGAGATGGAGCAGCTGTTCAACACCGAGATTAACAAGAAGCTGAACCAGGCGGAGTTCGAGGCGCTGCTCAACGAGTTCAAGACCGACTACAACCAGACGCACTTCGTCCGCAACCCCGAGTTCAAGGAAGCGGCGGACAAGATGCAGGGGCCTCTGAGGCAGATCTTCGTGGAGTTCTTGGAGCGGTCGTGCACCGCCGAGTTCTCTGGCTTCTTGCTCTACAAGGAGCTCGGGCGAAGGCTCAAGGTCGGACCCTTCATCCTCATTCTCTTTTAGCAGTCTGAGCTTCCAATAATAGCTTTGCTCTGTGTCAAAGCTGTAATCTTTGAATGAGTTCTTTCTCGAAGACAACAGTAGCTGCTTCCTGTGAATTTACCAAAACCTACATTTTTATTATTATTTCATAACATTAATCATCAAATAATAATTGGAATAGTTTTTTTTGTCACTAACCTTCGACAAAAATCTGGAGACAGAAAACCAACCCTGTTGTGGCTGAGATCTTCTCCCTCATGTCCAGAGATGAAGCCAGGCATGCTGGGTAAGTAGAGCAGCTGGTCATTCTGCTTTAAAGAGCCATTATTTTCTTGTGACATGTAGCCTTGGATGCATCACATTCCTAATCTTGGGATTGTAAACTTATGCAGATTTCTGAACAAAGGGCTTTCCGATTTCAACTTGGCATTGGATCTGGGTTTCCTGACAAAGGCTAGGAAGTACACATTCTTCAAGCCAAAGTTCATCTTCTATGCAACATACCTATCTGAAAAGATTGGGTACTGGAGATACATCACCATATACAGGCACCTGAAGGCCAATCCTGAATTCCAACTCTATCCAATCTTCAAGTACTTTGAGAACTGGTGCCAGGATGAGAACAGGCATGGAGACTTCTTCTCTGCTTTGCTCAAAGCTCAACCACAGTTCCTTAATGACTGGAAGGCCAAGCTGTGGTCTCGATTCTTCTGCCTCTCGGTATTTCTCTCTTTTTCCTGTCAACACCATATTAGGCAATGAGGTCTTTCATTATCAAAGCTAATGAGAACTGTTTGCATCAAACTCACAATTATGGCAGGTCTATGTGACCATGTACCTGAATGATTGCCAGCGAACAGCTTTCTATGAAGGAATTGGCCTCGACACCAAAGAATTCGACATGCATGTCATCATTGAGGTAATCCTAATATAGCCAGTTCAGCTTTGCTTATTTATTAACCAGATAGCAAGCACACAGAGGAAAACTTGGCATTCTATGCTGCCATGAGCATCCTTCTAACTTACTGAATTCTCAAGGATCAGAAGGAGCTGAGATTTTTATATACAAATGAAGATTTTCAACTGCAAGGAGAGAAAAAAAATGTGATGCATGCCAAAAATACAAATTGACTGTGGCATGGAACTTTGATACTTTAACACAGTTATAATCTAATTAGGAGACAAAAGAAAAAAATACCCTTCCTCTTTTATTTATCAGACTCTAAAGCAGCTGATCACACATCCAGACAACAGATTGTGACACAATTGTAGATGAACAGGAATTCTCTTATACTCTTCCTACTCATGAAAGAATGATAACAAGTGGTAAGACTACAATACATGTCATGATGCAGCACTAGCTTTTGTCATCAGATGATAATATATGAACTTCTTTTCTAGGAGAGACTTAGAGGAACAGATTTATAATGTCATATGGCACACTCACTCATATGCAAAAACTAAATTCTGTAAGTCAGTGTCATAGTACAAATTGATGTTTACTTGGGTACTCACATTGCCAAATTGATGGTCGCAGACAAACCGCACAACCGCGAGGATTTTCCCAGCTGTTTTGGATGTCGAAAACCCCGAGTTCAAGAGGAAGCTGGATAGAATGGTGGAGATCAATGAGAAGCTGGTTGCCGTTGGTGAGAGCCAGGATATTCCTGTGGTGAAGAACTTGAAGAGGATACCTCTCATTGCTGGACTGGTGTCTGAGCTTGTGGCTGCCTACCTCATGCCCCCTGTTGAGTCTGGATCTGTTGACTTCGCTGATTTTGAAGCCCAAATTGTTTACTGATTCTTGTAGAAGACTAGCTGAGTATGCATCAATTGTTCAAACATACAACTGATATCTTTCAGTGTACTCTTATTACCAGTTGAAAACATATTGATGCATGTTTCAGTCATGTAATATCAACTGATCCAGAACAATTTGTCCAGCACAAGCTGGTTCAAGCACATTGAGAGTAGATACTGCAATTTCAAGCGTCACTATTTGAATAACCTGAAACACCATGATCTTGTTGCTTGTGCTCTCACAGGCATGCACTAAGTTCCTAGACATTACATAAATCTCTTTTTTTTCTCAGAAAAAAACTCAGTTCCCAACATCTAATTTAAGCAGTGTATTTTGTAAAGAAATTAGGATCAACCCGAGTAATGTAATTGCGTCAAGAAGCCACAAACAAGGCCACCAGAAAATGGAATGCTGACCAAAAGACAGTTGTAACAAGGCCATCAGAAAATGATATACTGAACAGAAAGTTGCAAAATGTTGTCCAGGAAAATGATTAATGGAAAAATATATTTCATCCAAGCAATAGCTAGATATGATGCACAGAACTTGTCACCCACATAGATTTTTCTGCTTTGTAAAAACTATTTTCTAAGGGAAGCAAAAAAATGGAAAATTTTATCAGATTATAACTACACATGGCATATGCTAGTCGACAAAAATCCATTAGTTTCTTGATGGTAGGACAGTATTTTAAGACATTTTATATTTTACATATGCAACCTGGTGGTACTGAATGATCTACTACTTCCTGGATCTGAAGCAAATTGACTGCTAAAGTATTAAACGGGTTACTCAGTACAGAAGGCTTCGACAAACCAAGAGTTCTGGGATTGGAAGGGGTTCAGATGTGTTTTAGCCTGAATCCGCACAAATCAATTCAAGCATGCCAAGCAGCAATTGAGTAGCATCACTGCAGCATTAGTTACAGCATAATCATAAAGGAAAAAAACAAAGAAGAGTTGCATATATAATTAACCAAGTGACATGATGTCTTCCTTGTTACAAGTTGGGAGAGTTGAATAAAAGACGAAACAATTGTCCACATATTACATCCAAGCAAAACTCATAGCACCATAAGTAAAGCAGGTTTCATACATAGGCAACCTAGCACAACAGAACCACACATGAACAGAGATAAAGGGGGAAGAAGGCCGAGCAATCTAGTAAACATGATTATTGAGATAACTACCTGGATAGGCATAGTCACAATTTATTTTATTCTCTGATGACTCATTTTGCCATCATGATTTTCACAAACTCATCATAATTGATTTGACCATCACCATCGACATCAGCTTCACGAATCATCTCATCAACTTCTTCATCCGTCAACTTCTCACCGAGGTTTGTCATGACATGACGGAGTTCAGCAGCAGAGATAAAACCATTTTGGTCCTTGTCAAAAACTCTGAAGGCTTCCTTCAGCTCCTCTTCGGAGTCAGTATCCTTCATCTTGCGAGCCATCAAATTGAGAAACTCAGGAAAGTCAATCGTCCCATTACCATCTGCATCAACCTCATTTATCATGTCCTGTAACTCTGCTTCTGTAGGGTTCTGGCCTAGAGAACGCATCACAGTCCCAAGCTCCTTAGTGGTGATGCAACCTGTTAAAATTCCAAAAAGAATAAATACACTACTAAAATTTGGAGCAAAGTTTATCCCATTTAACACGAAAAGAAAATTCCAAATAAGGATTTCTGCTCCAGTCATTGATAGATCTACAGCGAATAACAGAAGTTAAAACTTTTCAAAGCTTGTCAGAAGCATACAGGATAAAACTAGCAAATGTGTAGATTTAGAAACTTGCTAAACCAAATAAAACATAATAAAATATATAGTATATTTGTATAACACTCATTTCCACAAATGGTTCAGAAGCTGTATTAGCATGCATTAGTATCTTAAAATTAAGAGTGTAAACTAGCTGAGCTCCACCAAGCTAGCCCTAGCTCAAGCCCATCAAGCCAGCTCATCTGATTGCAAGCATTGCTGCTCTGTTGAAGATCAGCCCATTTAGCAGATCACTGAGAGCTTAAGGCTAATTAAGTCTTTCACAAGTATATAGACTTTCTTAATTCAAGCTAAAACAGTTACAATTTTCCTTCTTCTTTATAACAATGCACATTAGTAAGTTTGGCTAGTCGCAACAAACAAAAATTTTGTTACTATAAAGAAAAATGTTAATTTATATATCATAACTACATATTGCATAGTAGGCAAGGCTCAAACTCGGCTTATTTATTGAAGGAACTAAACAAGAAAGAATTTGATTGTTTACACATTAAGCCAAAAATAAACTGCTTGTAAACAACTTGCTAGTCTGACAGCAGTTTGGTACTTCAATGAAGTCATTTAACTTGTTTAAATTCTTCGAGTGCAAATTTCAACATTTACCACTCTCCAATTATGGCCTGGATCTTCGTAGTGTGTGTATATATTGTCCCCTTTTAACCATGTGTCATAGTACTGTTTTTGCTGTCCATAAGTGTACGTACTAGTTTTGCAACAGATATAGAATTGTGATATAGATATCAAGCCGTACCAGTTTTATATAGGTGGCAAGTCGATGAGGATTATGGATCTCAGTCCCCCTTTATCACATCTTAATTGCATTCCTCACAAATCTTATTTATCTTTTTCCAAGAAACTGGTAGTTGAGCCTGCTATAAGTTATCTTTTAAAAGTAAATTATCATTTTTTTTTTTGGTTGGCATTGCATCAACTAAACCAACCATTATTTTCACCGATTTCCCAACTTTAAAGTACCTATCTTTCATTGTTTAATCATCCAATATGGCACATCAATCATGTGAGGGTAACACCAGGAGACGGACTTGCTAGCTTGGACAAAAGGTGATAAGACAAACTTTTATTGTTTGTTTTTCTAAATATATAAGATAAGAATCTCACCTAACATAAGAACTTGTAGGTTCACCTAAATATATAAGGTATAAAATTTGCTGTTAAGACAAACCTGTTTACATTATTGTTTGTTTTTCTCACTTTGTAAGAAGATATATTTCTAAAGCAACGTAATATTTCTCACATTTTGAAAACCCTAAATCTTGAGAGGAAGGTATAATAAATGTTTTCGCAGATGAATTTTGCTCCATTACTAAAAGATACAACCAGAAAGACTCGTACAACAAAACCTAAAACCCACATTACACCACTGATGAACCCTAATGTAAGCACAATGGATCACTATACGTAGAAAAACAAAGGAAAATATAAAGAATCACAGGAACAATCTAGTGGGGACAGAATGAATAAACCAAAAATCACTCTGCTCCAACAGAAAGCAGAACAACCACAAGCATCCAAGAATCGGCAAAAGTACACAAAAATCGAAATGACAATCAAGCAAGAGACAGAAATTAGTAATACAAACGATTAGCATCGGATCGACGGGATCTAACCATCTCCGTCTTTGTCGAACAAGCTGAAGGCCTCCTTGAACTCCGAGATCTGGTCGTCGGTGAGCTGCTCCGCCATTCCTCCTCAGGGGATCGAGTGCAAGAGCGATCCGGAGACCCGCAGTGAAGGAAGGGGAAGTAAGAGGAAGAGGCAAAAGCGAGATCTCAAAGCACTCCGACGCCCGCCTTTATAGAAGCCCCATCGATCAACGGCACGTCGACGGTCCCGTAACGGACGTCATCGCTGTTTTAAGGTTAAAAAGTATCCGATGGACCTTTAACGGTCCAAAATGACAATTTACTCCTCCACTTTTCTCATTTTCTAGTGTATACTTGGCGACATTCTGACCGTCTGATCGTTAGGCAACGGTCCCAATTAGACGATGTTTGTTAACAACGTGTGAAGTTGGGAAATAGTTCCGAGATTTAGTCAAAGTCATGAGGGCATGAAAGGTAAAACGCTTAGCAGCATCATATATTCTTCTCTACTTTTTATCTGTGGCTTTCATTCCTTACTCGTAGTCTTTGGATTTCAGTTGGGCCTCTGGGGCCCAATTGGAGGCTCAAGATGTCAATCCAATTAACTAAGTCTAAAGGGTCACCGTGGCCCAAGTGATCACTTAAATCTAAAATTGGGTTTATTTTAACCTTAATTGAGATAAAAATAATAACAATTTAAAAATATGATGTGTTAATATTATTGAAAATTTCAATTTATAAGATTTAGAGATAAAAGAAAAAAAGAAATCTTTTTGTAGACAAAATACAGTTGGGTTCCCGCTAATTTCTCTACACCTCTACTCCAACCACCCCTCCCAACTCCCCTCCATGCGCAACTCATATCCTCCCTTAATCCTCTCTTTCCTTCGGAGTCCCCAAAACTTACCCCGTGCCCCTTCTCCATCATGCGACGGCCTCTCCTTGCGCTATAGCCCAACTCCGCCTCCTCCTCCATGGGCAACTGCTTCACCAAGAACCCCACCAACCCCGCCCCGGCCGAGGGTGAGGGCGAGGCAGGCGCGGATCCGGTCCCGAGCTCCGCCCCCGACGATGCCCCCGTCCAGAAGGCCCCGATCCCTACGGCGGCCTTCACCCCGCCCCCCAAACCGACCGCCATCGGCCCGGTTCTTGGCCGCCCGATGGAGGACGTCCGCACGACATACTCCCTCGGGAAGGAGCTCGGCCGGGGCCAATTCGGCGTGACGCATCTTTGCACCCACAAGGCTACCGGGGAGAAGCTGGCCTGCAAGACCATCGCCAAGCGGAAGCTCACCAACAAGGAGGACATCGAGGACGTCCGGAGGGAGGTCCAGATCATGTACCACCTGTCGGGGCAGCCCAACATCGTGGAGCTGAAGGGGGCGTACGAGGACAAGCAATCGGTGCACCTGGTGATGGAGCTGTGCGCTGGCGGGGAGCTGTTCGACCGGATCATCGCGAGGGGGCATTACACCGAGCGGGCGGCCGCGTCGCTGCTGCGGACCATCGTGCAGATCGTGCATACCTGCCACTCCATGGGGGTGATGCATAGAGACCTCAAGCCGGAGAACTTCCTCTTGCTTAGCAAGGACGAAGACGCGCCTCTCAAGGCCACCGATTTCGGGCTCTCCGTTTTCTTCAAGCAAGGTACAATTCCTCCATCCGCCTTGGTCAATTCGATCCGTTTCTCTCTTCCTTCTCGTTCTCATCCTTTCCCCTTTCTTTAACACAGCTACTTCTTATGTGGTGATTTAATGCAAAGCAATTTGGAAAAATACATAGTAAAAAGAAACAACAATCCAACAATGCCTTTCTTCCGTAGATAAACAGAAAGGCATTGGAAGCTAATGCCTGCACATGGATCTAATCGTGATGTTACAACAATGAAAAGCTCAAACTCTTTTACCAAGTCAGATTCAGATCACCACATCCTATTGTTATCTAATAGACAAATTTGTATATATTCTTAATACTTCTTATGATCGGATAAAGAGTTTCTGTTCGACATAAAACCTATGAAAAATTCTCTCCTTTCTGTGGTGGTATGTTGTCCGGTCATTCTCATTTCGGTACTTGTGTTTAATGTTCTACATTTTTTTCTATGAGCAATTGTGTTTAACATCTTTTCCATACAGCATTTGTTCTTATCCATGTTATCTGGCTGATTGCTTCACTAAGATCTTCCCTAAACAGGAGAAGTATTCAAAGACATAGTCGGCAGCGCATATTACATAGCACCTGAAGTTCTCAAGCGAAGATACGGGCCAGAAGCTGATATCTGGAGCATAGGGGTGATGCTCTATATTTTTCTATGTGGAGTTCCTCCTTTCTGGGCTGGTAATTTTCTTTTACTCTGCAATCTGCAGCCGATACTGCCTAAGTCGAGAAAAACAAAGTCAAACTAAGGTGTTTTCCAACAGAATCTGAACAGGGGATCTTCAATGCTATTCTGAGAGGACAGATTGACTTCACAAGTGATCCATGGCCTAACATTTCACCTGGTGCTAAGGATCTTGTGAGAAAGATGCTAAATTTGGATCCAAAACAGAGGCTAACAGCATTCGAAGTTCTCAGTATGATCTATTTTCCGGATAATAAATTTCTTAACTTACTAGCATTACTAGCTTTGTTTTTCTCTGGGCAGCAATTTGATCTATGTCAACTCTGGTTGGTGGTGTCCCACCTCAAAAGCTTAGTTGTTAAACAATTAATGTGTTTTTAGTCTGCAAAAGTAGGTTTCTTGTATAGTTCATATCCATAGCAGAACATGTCTAGCAGTTGTTTGTCTATTCTTCATTAATAGACACTCATGCATTCTTTAGCTATGTTTCATTTTTTAGTTTGCTTGCAATTTCATTGCATAACCAATTCTTAATTATCACACAGCAAGCCATTTATTTGGCTGAAAATCTTGGAGTAATAAATTGCATCCAAAGAGAAAAAGGACAAAAATGCATCTATCTTTTGGTTGGTGAAGGCCTAATGGTAATCAAACATAGTTCTTACATCTTGGCAAGATCAGATGGACAGAAAAATTAAGACAAAAAAAAAATCATTTCTTATATGTTTTGTTCTTTTCTTCTTTTCGAGGGGAAGAAAAAAAGGTGAGGTCACATGTAAAAGGCAAATCCTAGAATCCCCTACTCTAAATATGGTTTCTTTCCTTTTCTTTTTTTTTCCTGAATCTGTAGTTTCTTTCCATGGAATCTTATGGAAGATTGCATTTGGTGCAAGTTGTCTCATCTAATTATGAGCTTATAATGCAGACCATCCTTGGATCAAAGAAGATGGAGAAGCACCTGATACACCACTTGACAATGCAGTTCTCAACAGACTGAAACAGTTCACAGCAATGAACCATTTCAAGAAAGCTGCTTTAAGGGTAAACTTCTTGCCTCCCAATTCACATGCTGCATCAATTCAAGGGTAAACTTCTTGACCATAATTTCTTAGTAACACAAATTAAGGATCACTAATGGGGACCGATTCATACTACACACACCTCAACTGTTTCTTGTAGAAATTTACATTAGATAGAATCACAGTGGCATGGCTAGCAGCATAAGCATGCTGATTAACTGGATATCCTACAAGACATTGCTCTATTTGAGCAACAGCCTAGAAGAAGAATTTTTTTTATCTTCTAAGAGACAGAAAGAAAAAGGCATTCATAACTCAAAATGCAGTTGTCAGCTTTTGATGCATATATCTGCAGGTAATAGCAGGATGCTTATCTGAGGAAGAGATCAGAGGGCTGAAGGAAATGTTCAAAAATATGGATTCTGACAATAGTGGAACCATTACTCTTGAAGAACTGAAACAAGGTCTTGCTAAGCAAGGAACAAAGCTATCAGAGAATGAAGTCAAACAGCTAATGGAAGCTGTATGTTCTATATGCATTAAAATCCTACTAATAAATTCAATCAGTCTATCAAGAAGGAAAGAGCCAAGTTTCTGTACTAACACTTCTGACAATACGATACTGAATGCAGGCTGATGCAGATGGGAACGGAACCATAGATTATGACGAGTTCATTACAGCGACAATGCACATGAACAGAATGGGCAGAGAAGAACATCTGTATACAGCTTTCCAGTACTTTGATACGGACAACAGCGGGTAAGTTATGACCAAACTGATAGTACAACACAATTTTTTTTCCTTTAATCAATATTTCTCCTTTCTTCTTTAGCTATATTACTAGGGAAGAACTTGAGCAAGCTCTGAAAGAGAAGGGGCTGTATGACGAAAAGGAGATCAAGAACATAATTTCTGAAGCTGATGTGGACAATGTAAGTTGGTTGATATAGGCCATGCAGCAGCATAAATCTGCCTAATACTAGAGAATTAGGGACTCAGAAATCAAAGCAAACATAAATTTTGTTTTCTTCTTGCTTTCAATTCACAGGATGGAAGAATTAATTACGATGAGTTTGCGGCCATGATGAGAAAAGGGAACCCTGAACCAAATCCAAAGAAAAGAAGAGATGTGGTTATTTAACCTGAGCATGTAAAAGAGGGAGGAGAGGATCAGTTCTGTTTGAACTTGACTACGTATCCTATACTTTGGTGTGGTGGAGAAATCATGCAGAAGATTGAAGGCTAATTATGGGGGCGGGGGGAAGTGAGGATATTTCATGTACAAATCTTGCTTGTGGGGATTAAATTAGGCGGAGAAGTGATCAAACATCTTTATGGCATATAAAGGTGTTAGCTTTTGTGAACTTTATACAGAGTTAAACAATCTTATGTGAGCTAATGCCAGTGAAAATTTTAGCAATGCAAATTGAATCATTACCCGAACAACAGTATTAGTACCATGAATAATTGTATACCCTAATTTTCCTCACCAACCATTACCACAGCTATTAATTGTTTGCATTTAAGAAACATATTAAGCTAATCCAAAATAAATTAATGACACAAACTTGACTATTAAAGTCCAAGCCACCAATATCATGTTAGACCACAGAAATTATAATGAATTAAACCATAGCACAGAAGCAACATTGGTAGAAATTAAACTTCTTTAAATGAGAACGAATAGAACAAACTAGAATTGATCAAAAAATCTCTGGTAAAGCTAATTATTTACTGACACCACCAACCGGCTGATTTTATCCGACAAACATACTATTCAGCATCCTTCTGACTAGTTTCATTTGAGGAATTCCACTTATAATAAATGTCAAAAAAAGGTTCTATCAACAGAAGAGCCACCTGCGGCATGGAGAATAAGCTTTAACAGCGCAGAACCATAAAACTGATCCTATAAATTGAGATATGCAAATACATAAAATGATGACCACAATCAGACCAACAACCCTTTTATTAGCAAAATAATACATTTTCACAACCTGGCCAAGATGGGAAATAGAAAGGGCAGGCAGAGGTACCTGCTACACTGAGTTAACTAAGCTCAACATAAACTTGTGATTAGAACTTGAGAAAATTCCTGGAGGAGTTGAATAGAAATTGAAGTAGCCTCCACTGCTTCCAGAAGGAATTTTGGCATAAGGCCTCTTTTTCTGTTGAAGCATATCACCCTCCCCATGAGCAAAATGACAAAAGTTTCCAAACTGACGACAGCCTTCAGCAGTGTTAAAACAGCTGCAGAGTGTTGTCTTGTAACCACTAGTTGCAATCCTTGGATTTCCAACTGCGATGTCTGCTTTCTGCTGCATGGCAGAAGCAGGTGCAGCAGAGTCTGGGAGCACAGGGCCCAGACCCAAAGATCCAAGATCCCCAGGTACATCTTGGATATGCCTTCTACCCATAGTATATCAACATTTCTATTAAACGGAAAATGATTTCTAGTTATATCTTCCAACAAAGATAGCCATTACCAAGAATCATAATCCAATGTTGGATTTTCCATTGATGAAAATTACAAATGCCACACTCAATTGTCTATTGCAATCTGATAGTACAGCGAATCAATCATTGGTCCAATGAACATTTAGAAAAGCACATAGACCTTTCTCCAGGTTGGTGGCTCTTTTCAATTGGAGATCTCACAAATGGAAAATTGCATGTGCTGGTTGACCAAATCTGGGAAATGATTTGCTCATAATATGCATTATGAAAAGATGAAATTTTGATCTAAAAGTCTTAGGAAGCTTCTTTTTTTTCTTAAAAAGTTCAATCATTAGTTGGGTCTACATTCATCGTGTTTCCTGGTCGTTAGATGAGAGTCCCAAAGTAGTATCATTTAGCAATCGATCACTAGAACTAAAACTTGAAAAGCACTAGTTCTTAAAACTCCATCCTACCGAGTAAAAAACATCTTTTTAGGAGAAGATACATACTCCGAGTACTTTTCCCAGAAAACCAAAGCGAAAGCCCCTACTTTTCATGCCATCTGCCTTGTGACTAAAAGATACTCGATGGCACCATCCAAATTCTCCAAACGAAAGAAGAAAGGAAAAGATAAGTATACTTACCTGCAGGCCACCGGCCCCTCCGGCGAACTGCTGGAATCCGCCCTGATCCTGAGGTATCCGCCGGCTTCATGCGCAGTCTCTTCGGCAGGGGGATTGGGAGAGACCGACTCACTCGAAACGAGAACCGTGTCGATGGCCCACGAAACGGACTGGACCGGCCCAGTTGGCGCAAGCGTGAACTTTCATAGCAGGGCGGCTCAAACCCGGGTCTTGATTCGACCGGTCCAATTGAATTAAATTGGAAGTCTGACCGGTCCAATTGAAATCATGGTTTATCCTTCCATCAATATTTTATCCTTCTGGTACAAATTAAGAGATTATTCCGACCGGACATCGTACCTAATCACGTGAAATATTATTAATAATAAGTAATAAAAAAGGGCAATATGGATATTTAGCTCCAAAATAAGAAGGAAAGGAAAACTAATTCCCGCTTCCACTGAACAGCAGAACGAAATCATTAAAGATTTCCCACTTAACTAAGTCAAAATAATCCGCATTATTGACCAATGCAGAATAAGCAAAAGAAGAACACGACGCCGCCTGGAGATTTGATTGCCCTCCGACTTCGCTTGTTTCTCGAGATCAGTAATCTATTGCTTCCCGTATGCAGTTCTTTAATTCGCTTTAGCCACTGCGGAATTATTGCCGACGAGAAATAAGAGGAGAAGGCTGAGAGATCGAAGAGTGGGAGTCAAAGCAGTAGGTGTGGGGAGGAGCGGCCGCCCTCCGATCCTTCGGAGCTGCGAGAAGTTCCGCCAAAATCTGGGGTTTTGGAGGCAGAATTGGGTCTGCGCCGCCTCGACTTCCGCCAGGATCGATCCTTCGTAGCTCGATTCGCCCGGGATCGTGGGTCGTTCGTACTTCCTCGAGACGCTTGCTTCCAGTGTACGGGTAAGGGTTGGAGAATTTGTCGTTCTCGGTTAGGGATTGCCCTTGCCCTGTATTTATAGGGGGATTTTGAGCAGAGGGGGGTTCTGGATTCTTCCTTGTCGTGTGGCCGTGTGGACTTTAGCAGCCTTCTAGGGTTGGAAAGTTGAGATTTTTCTGGGATCATTTTTGGGTCTTTTCTGGTGCTCGGTGCCGGCGGTGGCCATGATGGTGATGGTGTATGGGGAGTAGCATAGATGGGGTTGGATTCGAAGATGGTAAGCTAACCGCAGCCGGGATGCCGAGCTTTGTTTCGTCCACGACGGTGGTTCAGAACAAGTATGTCCATGGTCTATACATCCTCTACGTTTTCTCCCTCGTGTTGTTTCTTGATAAATCTGGCACCTTCCGATGCTTAATTGACCGCCGCAGCTTGATATCATTGTTATCAGCTCATTGGTTCTTGGATTAGAAGCTGTGGCATTTTCTTCATGATTGTGTTCTTTCTTATCTTAACTATCTTCTTATTTCTACAATTGTAACAATCAATATGAACAGCTTTTTCTTCAATCTTAATATGGATTTGTTAAAATGGCAAGCGTGGGCATTAGACAATATAAAGTAATAAATGGAGCTGTATGTGACTTGAGAATGCATATTGCATTTAAATTATTTAGCTGGGTATATTGCATATATCGATTATGGGATTTCTTAGACAAATGGTTCTTTGATATATATGGTATTATGTGAATATTATTTGCTGTTCTCAGTCTAGAAGATAAAAAGTAAAACGACAAAGGGAGGTTGTGCATAACTTTTGGAATGGAGGCAAAGGAACAAATCTTAGCAGATTATGTGGCGGGATCTTGCTATGTGGTTGTTACTGACAGAACATACTATATCAGCCACCAACTCTATCTGACCTGCATGCGAGATCAGATATGAGCTAAAAGTCATCTTTTGTTGTGAGTGTGAAGAAAATTATTGACCAAAGTTTTGGTTACACCACACTAAAGTTCAAATTGCAAAATAAGAAGCAACCCCTATGCTTATTGGGTTGGTTTTTTTTATTGTAGGTAGGCATTCCTCATCAAACATTAAACTTTGCAAATATTAAGTATTGTTTACATGAAAAATGAGTTGGATTATGTAAATAGAAATTGATAAGCAATGCATCTAGTGTTATAAACCCAAAACTCAGTATATATGGAAACTGTTTTCTACTTTGATATATGAAAAAGTGATACAGAGTTTATATAAGAAACTTGAGAGGGGGTTTCCTTGGGTTTGGTTTTGGTTGCATGCCAAGCCATTGGATTTAACATAAAAGTCTGTAAATTGAAGCGACTTCATTGACCTAGCTAGGACAAATTTAGTATATTGGATTTAAGAACCTAAGGCAGAATTTTTTAGTGATACACTATAGAGAAGCTCTCCTTTTTATCAAAACTAGTGATACACTATAGACAACTCCACAGGAGACGTTTTTATCAAAACTAGAAAAGTGAGCCTCCAATAATGACAAGAATGTGTTCCTAACTAAGGAATCATCGCCATGTTTATTGTTCAAGTCTGGTGCTTTGTTGGAATTAGAACTAGTCTAGTCTAGTGCCCCATTCCAGTAATACGTTGGTTTACTTGACCTGTGCTCACATATTAGAACTTCTTAAATTCAACCTTTGTTCCCATTGTGCATACATACACACACAATTATATACATGAATACAAGTAATACACGTTTTACTTTAAAGGTTTCTATGTACTTCATCTATGGCTAATGCTTTCTCTCAGTAGCAGAGAAGGAAACACGACACAGAGAATTTCAGACTTTGGCGTGCTCGAGCAGTCTATCACATTTCATATAGGTTCTGCCTCTGGCCTCCTATGTAGGAGTTGTTTCCTTTTGTATTTATTGAGTAGTAAAGTAATCTAGCTTCCTCAAATTGTTGTCTGATTCAGTAATTTTCTTTACTAATTGAGTAAATCTACCATCATATAGGTGCAGTACATAAGGTCGCATTGCTACACAACTGTTGGTTCTGTTGCAATCTTGTTTGCATAAAGAAGTATTGTGGGCCTAATTTTAATGGACTAGTTTTGTTCGATTGTTCTTCTTAGAAAACTCATTTTCACTGGATATTTGCTACAAAGAAGTTTTTTGTTGTCTTTTTTTTTTCCTTGTAATATAAGAAATGACATGTTTTAAAAGGTCAGTGATACCTAAAGTAAGTAATGTGAGAGAAATAGGAAGAAATCTGCTTTAGTTTTCATAAGTAGTAATGGAGCCTTCTTATCTTAAAGAAGATAATTTGAGATGAAAATAGTTTAGTATTTGCTGGAAGGCTGCAACTAACTAAGCTTATAACCATTTTGATTTCTACTTTTAAATCCAAGTGACAGAAGGATCCATGTGTTTTTGCCAAATGGTTTGGCCTAAAGGGTATTTTATCATTTGTGCAGATCCAGCAGTTAGTGTGAAACATAGTGGACAATCTATAAATTCTGACCCTTCTCAATTTGGAGTTCTTGGTAAAGTAAGATTTCACTTTTTTTTTTGCACTCACTAACTTTATAGGTGTACTTGGCTACCTTGCTACTAGTAGAAAAATGCTCTTCTGATCCTTTTTTCCTGATAGCAGCCTATTGCTTCCACTGAAATTGCACCTTCAGCAGCTAGAGTTGAATCTTTGACGTCATTCCAACATAAGGAAAAGCTACACAGCTTAATATCATTTTCCAGTGGTCAATTTGAGAATTGGGGAGAGTCAATGGCAGATGCTAGTCCTAGGACAGATACCTCCACAGACGTGGACACTGATGACAAAAATCAGAGGGTGATTTTCTTTGCTCTTTCATTTTTTTGGATATATATACACATAAACAATTTCAATAAACCACATCATCTGAACACTAGATTGTATTTCTTACGCTGTCACTTTCCAGTAAATGATCAGGAAGTCTGGACCTGACTTGCTTTTGCAACTATGGTTGCCCCACTCTGTTAAAGCACCATGAAATTGAAATTGATTGTTATTTGGCCTGCATGCTTACATTAAATGCATAGAAGATAGTTTAAAGTTTTAAACTTTCAAGTAATAGTAACTTTTGAGTATTAAAAATTCATGTAATTGTTTATGTGAAATACTAAACCAAACTGAATAATACAAAAAAAAAAAAAATCGAGTGAAACTGAGACAAAGGCCTTGCTTTGACTTTGCAGTTTGACCAATTAATTTGCACACCCCTACTCCTTTCCTACACACTGCCTCCTCTACTTTTGTGTTTATTGCTCATTCTGTATATATGCATCTGATTTCCATGTGTTGTTGGGTAAACTTTTTAAATCTAACTGATGGCCTTTTCCTTTGTGAGGACATGGTTGATATATGGTAATTAATAGCACAGATCAAATACAGTAGGTGTGTTATTATTCTACATCAATTTGTGTGTTTATGTCAAGGATATAAGCCTGGGTGTCAGTGGTATTTTGGTTGTTGCTCAAACATCTACATGCCAGCATGTTGGCACAAACATAGCCACAGGGAAAAAGGAAAGAAGAGAGGAAACCAGAGAAATGATGTTGAACTGTCTTTTCTGTTCGAGCAGTGTCCATCATCTTCATTGAGCACAGAACATTATCCAATCTGTCTTCAAATTGAAGCTTCAAGAGGAGGGCAATAGGTTTTGAGCCTCATTTGGTAAAGCTTTAGGTATTGAGGGGAAGGATAATGAAAGGGTGGAGCGAGATTGCATAATGGATAGGGGCAAAAAGACAGATGGTGGACAGGTGAATGATGAGTGACTCTCCTTGTGCGAATGAAGAGAAGAGGAACCCTAACTAACGTGGGAGCAAATCTTGATTTTGTAAACTATCCATTTGCTCCAGTTTTATTCAATTAATTTCAATACTGTAGCAAAATGAGGCTTTATAAACTTACCTGGTCTGCAAGGTGGTTCCAGTGTTAACCAGCACTTTGCAGGCCTTATGGCTGGTATTCCTGAAACTTAATTCCTTGGCTTGTATTAGGGAAATGTTGTGAAAATGGGTATTATAAAGTAAATTGTCCTGGGAATGGACTGTATCACGACTGAGATAAATGATTATGAGATTTTTTAGATATTCAGAAAACCATATTAATGATGGGCCAATTGAAAACTTAAAAACGATTGTGTAGGAGGGCACTGTAAGCCTTTTCTCAAAGATTTAAACCACATACAGCATTGATAGACATGCAGTCACCATGATTAATTGTTGAGTATTGGTGCATATCACCATAGGGTTTGACAATTAGAAGATATGTTTATGACTACTGCAAATAAATGGAAATGCTAATCTTGTGTTTGCTGAATTGAGGTGTGTATCTCTTCATGCTATGTTGCAAAAGGGAACTCGCTTCACCAGGATTGATTAATTCTTTTATGGTTTTTGGCTATGAATCTTTATCTCTTCTAATTGCAGTTAGAACGAGGACAACTTGCTTTTGCAGCAGCATCTGATTCTAGTGACAGGTCGAAGGACAAAACACTAGACCAGAAGGTAACTTATTTGCTTTATCTTCAGTTGGTGCTTTCATGTATTAGCCAAAAGTACATTTATTACATTTACTTATATTGAATTTTTTTGTTGCACAGACCCTTCGACGACTTGCTCAAAATCGTGAAGCTGCCAGGAAGAGTAGGTTAAGAAAAAAGGTATTTCATCTGTATATTAATTGCAAGCCATTTTGCTATTTTCTAACTGTCAGTAACAAAAGCATTATGATATCCTGGAGAACAAGTATTAGATACTAGGAACTAGATGACATCAGCTTGATTCCCTAGCTGTTAATCCTCCATCTGGGCTTCGAATTTTAATCTGTGATGTAACCTATCTTGTAATCATAGAGAAATATTTGTATAACAATGATAACCTGGGTCTCTTTTGGTTGCTGGGCATGGTGAATAAATTAGCTTAAGCATATTCTGGAAAAATAATTTAATTTGTGGAATCAGTCATTTGATGAATGTATGGTTAATATTCTTTTTTTCCTCCTCTTTCAAATAATATTTTGGATGTTAACTTTAGTTGGATATATTTTCAACTAATTGTATGTCCACCTGTTTATTCTTTGAATCACAAGGCTTACGTGCAACAGCTAGAAAGTAGTAGACTGAAGCTTACTCAACTTGAGCAGGAGCTTCAAAAAGCTCGTCAGCAGGTATTGTCCCTTTCTTTTGCCATATCTTCTTCTCTATTACATTCAGCCTGTTTCTTTCACATACATTGTAGATTATGTAATCAGTCTGAAATATTTCTTTCTTTCGGCAGGGAATTTTTATTTCTAACTCAGGAGATCAATCCCATGCTACAAGTGGAAATGGTAGTTTCTCTTTCATGATTCTTAATCTGATGTTGAAGTCTAGAATCATTAGCCTTTTTGGAACATAAGAACATATCTTTACTAAGTTCCATAACTGCTTTACTAATTTATGCCAGTGGTACCTTTTATTAGTAATTATCTGATTTTTTTGTCTGAGGCAACAAAACATAAGTATCTGCACAAAAAGGTTATATAAACATGCATCATGCAACAAAATTGTTGAGGTTCTACTGCAGGATATTCTTCAGCCATCCCCTTCACAATATCCTTGGTATCAAATACATAAAATGTAACATGCCGATTCTCCTTTTTAGTTAAGTAGGTTACTTGATTAACTCATGAACAAAAATTATATCTAAAACTATTAAAGCTTAGGTTCTCTTCCAAGAATGCTAACTACTCTTCATTCATATGGTAATTTCAAATTTGCATCAGAAAATTAATGTCCTACCTTGTCACTGCTGGTATAAATTTTGGGTTCCAATAGTATTTGCCTCCTGTTCTATAATGGTATGTGTTAAATCATTGTTGCAGGGGCCTTGACCTTTGATGTAGAATATGCACGATGGCTCGAAGAACATAATCGGCAGATCAGTGAACTGAGGGCTGCAGTGAATGCTCATGCCAGTGAAAATGATCTTCGTGTTATTGTTGATGGTGTCATGGCGCATTATGATGAGATATTTAGGCTTAAGGGCATTGCTGCCAAGGCAGATGTGTTTCACATATTATCAGGCATGTGGAAGACACCAGCTGAAAGGTGTTTCTTGTGGCTGGGGGGTTTCCGTTCATCTGAGCTTCTAAAGGTGCAGAACCTTATACCTTATGCTTTTGAGTAAGGTCTTTGTTTTTCTCCTCTTTTTTGTGCCACCAGAAATTTACTCGAGAAAATTGGCTTTGTTTTTATGTAAAATTTTTAGTAGGCACTTTTTATGTCGTTTTTTGTCTTAATTCATTAATTTGTTTTTGCTGTAACAATACAGCTACTTGCAAATCAGTTGGAGCCGCTAACAGAGCAGCAAATGATGGGCATATGCAACCTCCAGCAGTCATCACAGCAGGCTGAGGATGCTCTCTCTCAAGGGATGGACGCATTACAGCAATCATTGTCAGAAACTTTGGCCGGGTCTCTTGGTCCTTCGGGAACTTCAGGGAATGTTGCAAATTACATGGGTCAGATGGCTATGGCAATGGGGAAACTTGGAACTCTTGAGAATTTCCTTCACCAGGTAAAGTAATCATTATTAAATTTGCGACACTGGTTTAGGATGCTGCATGAATTGTCATGTTGTGTTTGAATTATTTTGCTGTTGCACAGGATTTATTTCTCCGGTCAAAATTGTTAGTCCTATACGTTTCGCAAGTCTCATTCGTCACTGTTGATTCAATCAACATACCCATGTAACTTTGCTTCTCATTGTCTAAGAACTTGGAATCCTATTCTCCAATAAGTCTTCTCCATTTATTCTTCCAGGCAGACAACCTGCGACAGCAAACCCTGCAACAAATGCACCGGATATTAACTACTCGTCAGTCTGCACGGGCACTTCTTGCCATCAGTGATTACTTCTCACGTCTTCGTGCCCTGAGCTCTCTGTGGCTTGCTCGGCCCCAGGAGTAAGAAACCCATTTTATGTGTTGTTGTTCTATCCAAGCACAGTGCTTCCTGCTTAAGGGCTTATTTGCCGAAGTATTTATCTTGTGGTTGGTTGTTGGCTCCTCTACTACTGATGGCTGGATGATCGTGCATTAGTCTCAAGATTCTCAGGGGAGCTAACCCAGATCTCGTAGAGCATGAGTGGTCACCATCACCATGCAATGTACCATTGCCTGTGTAAGAAAAACTCGTCTGTCATCTTTGTTTTCATTGTCTACTTTTGTAAGTCTCAGGTGAAAATAAAAATACAATTGTCACAATAATCTATCAGATTCGTTGCTAATGTTTCATCTGTTTCTTAATTCAATCACCGACAAGGATCAGACCTTGTTTATTGTATCCATGACTTAGATGCCACTGCATTGTTAACTCAGAAAGTTGTGAAGCATAAATTGTCGTTTCAATGATTTTTTATAGTTTCAAACATTAATTTTTCTTATTCTTATCTGTATATTCTACTATTAACTGGGTAGAATCTGATGACACACCTTGGCAGCTTCAGCATCGACCGTGCACTGACAAACAGTTTCTTCAGCTTGTTCTTCCGAACTGCCTCTGCCTTCATTTACAGGTGTTCATCTATCTCGTTTTTAAGGCACAATGTATCCTGAAGATGTTTGCTCAAGAGCCTGCTGTCAAGTGTTCAGGAAGCCATTTCTTCTTGCACAAATAGGCATTCCTATGTTGTTTGTAGATGTCATGAGCTCAAATTAGTACATTATGGCTGCAGAGTTCATCTTTCTGTCATTTCCATAACATGCAAAGGCTGCTGCTTCTATAAACCTTGGCACACACACTAGGTTGAAGAAAACGCTCTCCAACTATTTCTCCTCCCTCCCTCCCTCCCTGTCCAGGGGAGAATGATGGAGAAGAGCTTGATGGTACACACCATTTAGAAGACGACATTCTTTCTTCCTTCTTTCACCATCACAAATGTAATTATTTTAGATAGTATTTTATCGTCTTGTCGTCTTCCTTCTTTCACTATGACAAATGTTATGATTTCAGATTTTTTTTGTCATTTTTTTAGCATTAGAATCATACTCTCTTTCTTTCATTTTAATTATTTTCGATATATAGAATAATCCAAAGTTATTGGATATAGTAAATTGGGCAGTACGATCTGATGTTATTATCTCAATTACATGTTACTGCTATCTTCCTTTGATTTGAATCTGACCAATTTATTTTACTTTTATCCGCAGTTGGGAGTTATTTTGCTTTAGCATATGTTTATCAAATGTTTCAAACCTCAAATTCTGCAGATCCAACCTTTTCTCACGTGTTAACCATCAGTCTTCCTCTTCCTTAGAACAGCACAGTTGTTTTGGTAGGTAAAAACTTGGAAATAAGGATTTCATATCATCTTGTTTTGGTAGGTAAAAACTTGGAAATAAGGATTTCATATCATCTCTCTCTCTCTCTCTCTCTCTCTCTCTCTCTCTCTCTCTCTCCTTTTTCCATTTTGGAACCCCTTTAATTTCTTTTCAATCAATTCCAAAAGTGATGATAAAGTTCAGATGCATATGAGTTTGGTTCTTTCTGCAATCAGAGCAGGAACTTAAGATCAGAAAATACAGTTGAAAAAAAGAGATTATTCAAGCTTATCATACCATATAAAACCACAGGCACGAGTAACATGTCTGAATCAAGCAACTTCTCTGACCAACCCAAGAACTTTTGAGTTCCTTCTCTCTATTTCCCAATTTTACCTAAATGTAAGTTGGCTAAGAACTTAACATCAACACAAGGCATAGAGGGAGATTTTTGCACAATGACATTAAGTCATACATGAAGCCTTCTTGATTTTGAGGTAAAACAACAATTACAATGCACCAAGCAAACACTGACACAACATTTAAGCAAAGAAAGGAATGAAATGGTCCACAATGTTGATTATTAAGAGTTAAATATCTTAAGCAGCATCTAATCCCCATTATCATCTACTAAAAAGAAGTCAGTGTCACAGGTCAGATACTACCTAAAGACTTGTCATGAAGACACAGTTCTAGCTATATATATATATATATATATATATATATATGCCAACGTGGAGAAAACTTCGTTACCTAATTGCTTCATTGAGTTAGAGAATTCTATCACGCAGCTTCTTGGGCAGGGATGATTCTTGTAAGCATCAACCTTTCGAAGAGATGCCCAGCATCAAGGAGATGCCCATGCAAAGTAGCTACAGACCGCATACCTTGCAGCAGTCCAATTGCCACACCCAAAGAAGCATCTGCCTTGGGTTGGTCCAGGCTTGCGGACGACACACTTGCTGCTCAACACCCCACAGTAGCAACAGGTTTGCCTCTCCTTTCCATTGGGGTCCACAAAGGGATGAAACTGGACAGGAGCACCGACCAGTTCTTTGGACTTTGAGATGTAGTGGTTTTGGTCCAACAAAAGATCACGGAATGGCTCGTATTTTATGGGAAACTCCACAGCTTGCGAAGTTAAGGAATCAGTAATAGAGAACTTGAAGCCCATATCCATCAGATGAACAAGGAGGCGGGCGGTGTTACGGGCATCATCAAGGCCACAATGTGCACGACCCTCCCATGTCAATCCAGCAAGCTGGATGGCTTCCTTGAGATTGCAGCGGACACCTTGAAACATTTCCTGGAATGGAACCTTTAAGTTGATCCACCTGCCCAATTATGAAAAGCAAATTGAACTCAGAATATGTTGACAGAGATATCTTCATTAACCAGTGAATTAAGACATGAAATAAAGACATTATGAGCTTGTTCAAAACAGATTTATCAAGTAACTCTTAAAACAAGACTACAAATCTCCTACGTCTGGGTTGTCAACTAAATACAATGATGACAACTAGGATATCAAAAGGTCAACTGGCATCATTTCTTACTTCTGTCTGTGTAGAACCAAGAGCAACATCCTTGGATCAAGGAACTGAAGTCTAATTAATTTTGACAGAAAGGGGAGGCTGACAAGTTTGTAGTAGAAGTTCTGCCAGCAGAATCATGGTAGCACAAAATGTTCTTGATGAACAAAATTTAATTTCAGTCTAGCACAAGTATTGGTCACAAATGAAACACAATTAATTGCCAGGAAGTGTCGTGTTCCACCTATAAAGAACATTTTGTGAACCGTTGAAAGGCATGAAAAAGGTTACCTGTTAAAATAGGGAGGCTTCCTAATCTTTTTAAATCTGCATTCAGATTCTAACATAACACGACAATCCCAGTTAGACCATGTCACTACAACAAAGCTGTTATGCTTGATTCCTCTCTTTTCTAACCATTTATCATGCATCAACAGAGCTTCACTTAGAAGAACACCTCTGTCTACCTGGAAGTTCATAAAAGGAGAAGTTAAATACCTTCATATCAATGTACTATTAAGCAACCTCATTAATTGGAAATATGATTTCAAGTAGCACTTTGCCCTCAAAGTTCATTTTATTAATGGTCTGCAAACGACTTGCATTTGAAAATAGTAAAACAAAAGCTACTTTTGGACATTAACATAGTGATCTTTGGACCATGAATTATGACAAATTAGGCCCATCATACACGATAAGCAATACAGACCAGGAGAATAAATTAAACATTAAAATTATATAACCAAAGAAAGAATTGTCATAACCACAGACATCAGAATGCACTCGATGGTATCTATTCTTCATATATTGAACCAGTTATAGATGAAAGAAAAGCCACATTTGGGACTCACTACTAGTTGGTAGTCGGTGCCGATCATGCTTTGCCAACAGACCAAGGTGTCAAGATTATTCCATAGAGTTCTGGATCTTGCTAAACCAAGAATCTTAATTCAACTTATCAAATCAATGCCAATGGAGAGCAAGGACAATTCTGACAAGGTTTTTGATATACGTGCAAACTGGATTGATGTACAAATTAAACCATAACAGCATATTTAAAAAGGTTAAGCCGGATAGAAAGCAGGTTGCCCTCGTAAAGGTGGAAAAATGAACCATTGAATAAAAATTTCCTAGATGTATCTAGTCCAATCATTGGCTATAGCTCAACTTATCCTTCACATAGATCACCCGGCAATGGTAGATGATGCGTGACCGTCATTTTTTTCTTTTCCAAGGAAAATTCCATTTTAGCATTCCAACAAGTCTTTTGCACCAATTCCCAACACCCCCTTCCTGCTATCTCATAAGTCGTAGTACTCAAATAAATTGAGATATAGAATCAGATGTGAACACCAATACAGTACTTTGACCATGTTACAACACATCAACAAGTTCAAGGTTCATTTGATGAGTTATTATTAGAAGGCAACTCCAGTTGAGTGGTAATGAGATAAGGCAGCAAGATTTTATAAAAGACGCATTACAAAGCAAAACCCTTTCTTCTATAAATCTCATGCACACACCAAAGCTAATTTACCAACCATTCCTTCTGCAACCCAAGGAATCAAAGGAACCAAGTTTCTACAGCATGGGAAACCAAGGAAACTAAGACTTTGTCAGATCACCGCAAACTAAGACTTTGTCAGCTGCAAAAACTGTCACTCAGGTCATAAAGAAACAATCTTCTTGTTACACTAAGACTCACCCTCAAATTTGATTCTCTATGGAGAGAAAAAATTTAGGGCCAAAGAAATTAAAGAAAATTCTAGACAACGAATTCATTTAATCATCCATGACAAAATTACAGCTCAACAACTTTAGACCTCTTCACAAAAGACATACTGTAAGAAAATTGACAAACTCTAGCCTGAAGAAAGAAAAAGACTACTGGCAAATGGTTACAAATTAGTTATAGCCTTATAACCTACAAATACCCTTAGTTTTGAAAGACAGAACAATGATTTCACATTTGGTGAAGTCAGCAATTAAGCCATTTTAGCGCGCTGTGCAAATTAATGCTTTACCTTATTACTGTTTTTTTTTCAAATTAAACTATGCCTAGAAAGAAATTATCTATTCCTTTTAGGCTTTTACAACATTGCATTAAATTCTGAAATATACAAAGAAGCACTATTTTGTTGGCCTTGATGACTCCAATCCAAAGGTTTGATTCCACAAGTAGCATTCCTGCACATTTTTGCTTTCTCTTTGTCAAAAAACAGTGCAACCAACAATCACACTACTGAATAGCATTTCATAGAAATGGTTTTCCATATATGCATGTATGTATACAACTGAATAGAATAGTCAAGACTTTCAATGTGTAGCCCTATGTTAAGGAACACAAGAAGAAAGAAAAAACAAAACTAAGGAAGAGGGTAGGGGTTGAAATGTGTGATGACCTGAATTTGCTGGATCCCAGTGAGCTCCTTGCAGAAATCACTAAGATGTTGGTGATATGCAGGCCGCACATATGTCTGAAAAACAGCTTCTAGTTGACCAGTTGCACTGTTGACTAACACGGATGGGAACTCAATGATCTCTTGTGGATGTGGATTCTTGTCTTTGTCACATGTGGCCTCGAAGTCAATAACTACAAAGTACTGGAATTCTTGAATTTGATATTTTTGTGGGTGCGATTGTGAAAACATGTTGACTGGTGGCATATAACTAAATCTGTTTCCAACAGGAAATGAATAATAGTTTATAGGATAAAGATTGCTATCAAAGGCATTCAGTTGGACTTGCTGCCGCATTACAAAATCAGTATGGAGATATGGCAGAGCATATGGTTCTTGTCTGTAGAAAGGTCCACTATAACCTTGATTTAGTACTGCATTACGCTCCCAGATCATCGAGTTATTTGCTTTTATAGGATCATGAACAGGTGCATTTTTTGGCACAGAAATCTGTTGAACAACATCCCCACTTTCCTGAGAGTTAGAGTAAGAGGTAACTTTGGGGCATCCTTGGGATGCCTCGGAGTTTCCTAGCATTTTGTCTGCATCCAAGGAAAGAACATAAGCAAAGGCAGAAGTTGCATACAAAAGAAAAATCAACTAAACAGGAACTGATAAAGCTCAACCATAGCTTGTCTAAAAAAATTACAAAAGAGAAAGGCTGCTTTGCAAGCTCCTAAAGATGAGGTCAAAATCTTCAGTGCAATATAGCAAACAATATTATAGGATAACAATTGCACATGGTCTTTAAGATTGCAGAACATGCAACAAATCACATATTGGTACAAACTTCCATCACATCAGAAGAAAATAAATGCACAACTAGGATTAGCTTCTTGGAAAACAAGATGAAGCTGGAATGAGATTAATGATGATAACAAGAAACAACCATTGGGCAGCTACGCAGATCCTCCCTTCCATCTAGTTCAATCCTCATACAATCCAAGGGCCATTTATTTTCTCCATTGCAACTGGTCAAGTCATGTTGGTATTCTCTTAATGTGAAATCATCCTTACTCTCACTGGAGTCACCATAATACCATTGACCCTTCATATACGTAATTGTTTCTCATTTCACGTTTACTTATTGGGCTGCTGTGACCTAACATACCCATGTTCTTGAGTTGAAACAGAGATCATTCCCACCATAACACATTCCAGTTTTAGCAAATAACAAACAGAAATTGTCTCAGATTCCTATTACAGTCCATTACACAAGCTCTGGTAGATCACAGCAGAAGCTGATTAATTTTTGTCATGTTGGGACAATCTTCAGACAGCTTCAGAGGTTTCTTTCAGTTTTTTAATATGTGCCAAGACATGAAAAGAGGATAAAGATGATACAATAGCATGATTTCTCATCATTGTATATGTTCGTCCTCGTTCATCTTTCTGGTTGAGATAAATGAGTTTTCCACTTACTTGCAGGAGTGATGAGCATCTTTGTCTGCATAGGCTTATGTGATCCTGGTCATGCATAAGATTAGATTCTAACCCTTATCTTGAAGTTGACATTAGCCCCATTTGAGAGTCAAAAGCACTTGGATGCTACAGATTTCACTCATCTGCCTGACCTCAGGTGGGCTATTCTAGCACCACCAGAAAGAATGTAATTCTGGATCAATTTAAAGCTAACACTTCTTGACATCTCCCTTTAACCAAAAGCATATTCACATTACATATGCCATCAAGAATGGCTTGTTATTTTATAAGCATTTGAAGGTTGAGAATATAAGCCTTGATGGAAATCATCTAATCTAATTTTAAACAAATCATATCAGTGATTACAATAGGCGCTCGGGCGCTTATCTAGGCACTCGGGCAAGGCAAGGCGAGGCCCGAGCGCCTCGCTTCATTTCCAAGCGACGCACTTCAAAGAGGTGTCTCTTGGACACTCGCCTGAGCCCAGGCGCCGGGCGTTTCGAGCGAGGTTAAACCAAGTGACCAAACCAGATTTTTAGGTTTGGTTGGTCTCCGATGCTTTAGTTGGTTCGATCGAACCAACTAAATCACTGATATTAGGCTCCCTCTCGCGATTTCCCCGACTTCCCCAACCCTAACACTCGCGATTTTGCCGCCAAGATTTCTTCTCCGCTGTCGTTGCTCGCCACTGCCACAATCGCCGCTCACCGACTGCTCGCCGCTGCCACAATCGCTGCTGCTGTCGTCGCTCGCCGCTGCTTTCGTCGCTCTCGCTACCGCTCGCAGCTCCCACTCCCGCTGTTGCTCGCCGCTCCCGCTGCCATCGCCGCTCACCGCTCCCGCTCCCGCTCCAGATACCGCTGTCGTTGCCTCAGCAGCCTCGGTCTTCTCACACTCTTCTCACTATACTGTTAACAGTATATTAACAATATACTGCTAAGTATATACTAATAATAGTATTTTTATTTATTACATTAATAATATATTATTTTGATTTTAATACTATTAATTTTTATTTATTTAAAATTATTGTTAGGTTTCAGAATAAACGACAAGTGTACAGAGCAACTCAATAGATTTGATGTAAAATTTTATTGTTTTGATTTTTGAGACTTTTTATTAATGTGACATTGTGCTTGTATCCGATTTTCTTAATTTAATAGTATTTTTATTCAAATAATTATATTTATTAATTATATTATATATTTTTATATTTTAGCGTCTCGCTTCGCTCAGGCAAGCGCCTAGCATCTCGGACGTTTTTGGACCTTGGCGCCTATCACTTTTTAAATCACTAAATCATATATGGTCACTAGGCTATAAAATTTTGAGTAAATTTTCTTGAATAACAAATAAGATGATTATAGTTAAAAAGAAATGAATGGAGTGTGGTTAAATACTTACCAATCATATCTGCCATGAATAGTGATATTGCATGGCCAATGATGTCTATGTCTCATAGTGTTATTGATCCATCGTCATGAAACCATTACAAAAACCTTTGAGGTTGTGTTTAATTTGAAATAATCTACTAATCTTGTTCGGTGTAAAGTTTGATACCTCCAACCTAGCACTTAGATCCACCTTTGCAAGTTCATCAAGTATCAAGAGCCCAGCAAACTAGATGGAGGGGTATGATGAGTCGATCAAGAGGGTTAAGAATATGGTGATATTTGTATGTTTCAATGTATTTTAGTTCAAAATTTTGAGTTCTTACATAACATGGTCACAATAGAATCAGTGGCTTCTTCCAACTTATTCAGTGATGCCTTTAAAGCTTCCACACAGGCCATGATTATGTTGGTAAAATAATGATCCAAATAAATTACCAGCAAATATCATGTGTAACTGGTCCTTGCCAACAGGAATTTGTTTCTCAGGTTACCTTAAATAATCTACATGAATTTGTACAGGAGTAAAATACTAGACCATTGAAGTATTATTGTACAGGAGTCCACCTCTAGTCTCTCTGGTTAACTTCAATTTTGGACATTAATTTGTTTTTTAGTTTTTCTATATAGGAGAATAATATCAAAACCTTCTTGATGGAGAGTCATCTAGCTTTACAAAGAATTTCAAAAAAATTTATTGTAGGAAAAAAAATCAACAAAAAGTTATCAATTAGTTGGTCTAGAAATTCTAAACATTGTGTTGAAAATTTAAAAAAAAAGTCTTGATCTTTCAAGGGACTCCTTTTGTATTAAGTGCGCTCTTATATTAAATATCCTAGAAGTCACATTTTAGATTCCTGAAAAGCACATCAATTCCCTAGGAGATTGCTCTTGGAAATCATTGTCTTCATTAATTATACCACAGCTCCTAAAACCCTATAAATAGTGAAGTTTATCAATCGATCAAGCATTTTTCAGATTTGAATGAAAAGAATTGCACCTTCTTTAATCTCCTACTCTCCTCTCTTTATTTCTTTCTCTTCCCTCTCTTTTTCTCCGCTTCCCTACTTTGTTCTACATCAGTTTGGTATCAGAGCACATCAAGAAACCAACCCTGTACCCCATTAGGTTCCAACTAACAGCAAAAGCTACGATCAACACTCAAAGATCCTTGCACCTTCTCTTTTTTTCTATTTATCACCCTCTCTCCCCCCTTTAGCTACAACTACAGTACCACTAAAATTTGAACCATTGAAAGTTGTCCAAAAAAGCAAAACAAAAAGTGAGGAAAAAAAGTGAGAACCATTTGAAACATTGCATTTCTATCTTGTGCATTGTAATAATTAACAGCCTCATTAACAAAGGGTAATTTTCGATAGCATTATCATGACTCGATGAGGTGAAAACCAAACCAATCCTAATGAATCCCTAAACCAACATAGTGAGGTTTAACATCCAACGGGAAATCTCCCTTAGTTTTCTCGACACTGTGGAGAAAGCTTCTCGATAAGCCCTTGAGATTAAGAAGTACATTAAACTTTATCTAATTCGTCGAGCATCTTCCCAGTCTCTCAACAATCCTAGCCCAACTATGAATCGTCTAGCTTGTTCAACTATTGATTCTCAAACTAGTTCGTCTTCAGTCCAGTATCATTATTGTCATAATAGAGGTCACGTTGCCTCTCGTTGTCCTCAACGTACTTTTACCTTAAAACAAGAACCAAAGGATCAAATCAAGGAAGTAGATCAAATAGTTGAACCAGAAGCCTACTCAGAAGACGAACATGAACTAAAAATTAAAGATGCCCATGTTAATATTGTCTGCATTATTCTCTCTACTATTAGTGATTCCAATGAATGGAAGAGGATAAGTATCTACCATACTCTTATCCGAAGCAGGGAAAGAACTTACAAATTGGTTATTGATAGGGGTAGAACTATGAACGTATCTTAAATCTACTATCAAGAGACTAAACATTAAGGTAGAGTCACATCCAACCTCATTTAAAGCAGCCTAGGTTGACAAAACCACTCTACCCGTGACCGAGAGATGCCTAGTACCAATCAAAATGGATGATTACCAAGATGAGATTTACTGTGATGTCCTAATAATAGATATTGCCCACATTCTTTTAGGTCGGCCTTGGTTGTATGACCTTGATGTTACCAATCATAAAAAAGAAAACACTTATGTCTTTCCATACAAAGGCAAAAACATCATCTTACGATCGACAAATTTGTCAGAAAAAGACAAATCAAGAACTCTCAAGTCTCCTCAACAAGCCCCAACAACTAAGGGACTCCACTTATTGGATCCTAAATCTTTGTAATTATGCATTATTTTGGCACTCAAAACAAAGCTATTGATGCCCTTAGTAGAATTTCTATAATCCTATCTACCATGACTATCACGACCCGAGCCTGATGGGCTAACTGGCCTATCAACTTCGTTTAGTCTAAACCATTGGCCAAAATGCTTAGGCTGAAGTTGATAGTAATATATTCATTAGACCCTAATAAGCCAATCTTAATCTTGCCCACTTCTGATGTGGGACTAATCGGAGGTGTTACAATGAGTGTCAAGGTCACAATATTCGAATGATGAAAAGAAGAGTATACCTAATGTCCAGACTTTACTCACATATATCGAGAAGTCCAAGATGGAAACGGTTGTAAATATACGGACTTCATTCTTAAGGATGGTTACCTTTCTCGATCTATTAGATTTTGTGTTCCCCGATCCTCTCTTCGAGACTTTCTTGTTTGGGAAATGCACGTGGGTGGATTAGCAAATCACTTAGGCCGACACAAGGCCATTACATTAGTCGAGAATATATTTTACTAGCCTTCCTTAAAGCAAGATATTGCTCGAGTGGTGTCGCGGTTCACACTTATCAAATTGCCAAAACTCGCAAGCACAGTACTGGTCTATACACCCCATTACCCATTCCACATTCACCATGATAAGATGTGAGTTTAGATGTTGCCCTTGGACTTCCCAAAACAACCCGTGGCCATAACTCTATTCTTGCTGTTGTTGATCAATTTTCAAAAATAGGCCACTTTATCCCAAGACCAACGATGCCTCACACATTGCTAAATTGTTTTTTCAAAAAGTGATTAAATTATATTGCTTGCCCTTAACCATGGTGTTTGATAAGGATATGAAATTTGTTAGCTACTTTTGAAAAAACTTTATAGAAACTATTTAGTACAACATTGAAGGTCCCTTTAGCTTTACATCCTGAAATTGATGGTCAAACTGAGATTGTTAATCGTTCTTTAGGAAATATTCTTAGATGTTCAGTTGAGGAGAAACTCAAAAAGTGGGACTTAACCTTACCCATTGCAGAATTTGCATACAATAACTCAATCGGTTGCTCTACCCAAAAAAGCCTATTTCAAACTGCCCTTGACTATACTCCTCGTACACCCATTGGCTTTGCACCCTTTCCACTACTATCATGCCTTAGAACCAGCCTACTCCTTCACTTCACATATTTATGATTTGCATGTTGAGATTCGACATAAAATTGTTATAAGTAACGAAAGTTACAAACTTGCTACTAATACACGTTGTAGAAGCCAAGAGTCAAGTTGGTGATTATCTCTTGGTTTGCGTTTGCCTTGAGAGTTCCTTAAAAATTCATTCAAAAAGTTGCATTCCCGAGCCATTGGTCGTTTTCCCATTATCCAAAAATCGAGACCTAATGCATATATGCTCGATTTGCCTTCCAATTTAAATATTAGTCCAATTTTCAATGTGGATGATTTAACTCCATATCATGGTACTTTTGAGCCTCATTCTCTATCTACGACCGGTGTTCCTACATGTGACAACCCTCCCAAAGCACCGATTCTCTCACAACATGGGGATGACGTAGAGGCCATTCTTCATTACCACCTTGTCACATCTATTACTAGCATTACTCAACATTTTTTTGCCAAGTGGCATGATCATCCAACTTTTGATACCACTTGGATTACTTTGGATACTCAGTGGCGTGATCATTGTCAAGTCTTTTGGTCTTTCTAGGAACTCACTTTGTATTAAGTGCACTTATTTACTATTTAGATATCCTAAAAGTCATATTTTGGATTTCTAATAAGTATACTAATTCCCTAGGAGATTACTCTTGAAAATCATTATCTTCATTAATTGTATCAAGGTTTCAAAATGCCTATAAATAGTGGAGCTTGTCAATGGATCAAGCATTTTTCAGATTTGAATGAAAAAAATTATATTTCTCTAGTCTGTTACTCTCCTCTCTTATCTCACACTTTTCTTTGTTTCTCTTCCCCTCTCTCTCTCTACTTTCCTACTCTGTTCTACGTCATTTCTCCTATCAAATCTATTGATAAAGTTCTGCTCAAGGCACAATATATAGCTGAGTGTTCTTCCCTATAAATCCAATGTTAGCCTAAACCTGAGTGGTCTAGTACTAGGTGCTTCATGTGCCAGTTGTATGCTATACAGTTCTAGTAGACGCACAATATATAAAACAGAGCAAGTTTTCATCAAATAAAGTTCAATTGCCTCACGTACCACTCGTCTGCCAAAAAAAAAAAACTTAAAAACTAACTCCAAGCACATTGGCAAACGAATACATGTATTCTAGTGCAAAGCCCATTCCACTCTTCAGGAAATATACTATCGAATTGCTAATTTCTTCAAGAGATCATATCACAAGAAAAAAAAAGACAAACAAGCAAGTATATATGAATTTAACAAAATTCTAACAAGAATGACAACCCAAATAATTCTAAAAATCAACCACAGCTATTTAACGAACTATAAACAAAAAAGGACAAAAAAAAATTGATCTTCACATTACTCTCTGAAAGAATTGTTTTTGATACATCTGCTACAAGAAAACAAGAAAAAAATTGGTGATAGCAAACAGAAGAATCTTCCAATTCAAGAGCCCATATCTAAAACAAATCAAATCGTTCATACTACTCACCGCCCCTACATTACAACTCCCAAAGACCGATCACTAACCCATAAAAGATACGATCTTTCACCGGAAAAGCAAACGAATATTCGAAGATCTGACAATGAGAATATCCTACCTTCGGCTGGCCGATGAATCATAATCCCCGAGGACGCTATGTTCCTCCAGGTCACTGTCAGATTCTGCTCCCCATCATCGACCTAAAACCCACCACGATCGAAACAAAATCAAAATCCACCAGGATAAACGGAACAACGTCATCTTAAATCGAACAAACCAGCCCTTGATTCGATCAAGAAGAACAGAAGAAAAAAAACCGGATCTCTCTCGGCTCAGATTTGCCGTTCTTACATGTAAGCGAGGGAAGCGAGGGAAGATGAGAGAGGCGAGCGAGCGGCCTCTCGCCACAGCATGCCTCGCTGCCCCGCTAAAAGATGAGACCGGTGCCGACTGCGGGGAAACCTTTTCGAGATCCACCGTTCCATACAACACAGCGGACGCCAATAGCAACAGGATATTCTGTACGTGGCAGAGAGTTATGACCGACAAAAGTTGTTTGCCGTCCGAATAGTAGCAGCAACAGTACGCTTATTGGAACAGGGAACTGGTGGGGCCGACGCGACTGACCTGTTCTTCTGATCTGCTCTGCAAATGCTTTCTTGAAAGTGGCCTGGTTGATCGGAAACTGGCAAATCGAACGGTCGAAAAGTGGACAATTAAGAGAAAGGTGTCCGCACAAAGGGACGATAATTGTTGCCGATCCCACCTCGAGTAAGAAGTGACGGGCCAAACCAGGAGGGCCACCAGGTGCGGTCCAATGACGGGGAGCGGGGCCTAGCACTTGAGAGGCATCGGAAGTCGTCGCATTAAAAGGTTCGACACGGGGATTAGGTGAGCCGAGCCGTGCATCGCCACGCAATCTGTGAGGAGCTTGTGGGGTTAGACGTTGACCCGACGTTGACCCACCCAAAGTTTTAGCTAATGTTTATCTCGGATCTCATCTCATAATGAACTGATAAAGGTTACCCATAAAAGCCCAAAGCCCACAAAACTAATGAAAGCTAGGTTAGACGTTGACCCGACGTTGACCCTTCCAAAGTTTTAGCTAATGTTTATCTCGGATCTAATCTCATAATGAACTGATAAAGGTTACCCATAAAAGCCCAAAGCCCACAAAACTAATGAAAGCTCATAAAAATTAAATATTGGCCCATGCAGGTTTCGAACCTGCGACCTTCGCGTTATTAGCACGACGCTCTAACCAACTGAGCTAATAGGCCATGTTATTTAATTTGATTCCGTCTTATATTTCTATTAAATTTTCCGCAGAGACCACTGCTCCCTCCATCTTCGCCCTCGTAGTCGTGTCTCAGAAAATGGGGGAGACCATTCGTGACGCAGGGATCGTCCCAGCCGCCAAAGGGCATTCACTCTAATGGGGAAGATGAGCCATATCAAATCGAACTTTACGGAAGCAGTAGAGCGAGGGAGAGGGAGAGGGAGCGGGAGCTTCAAATCTCTCCCGCCAGTGGAGCCAACCTGGAATTTTTCTCTCCAAAAAACAAAAAAAGGTTAGATTTGATTACAGCTTGACCAGAAGTCAACTAGACATGATTTTGACTTTACCCTCACAAGGAAAGCCGTTGGTTTATTTTTCTTGTACCACAGATGATTGACTTCGTCCTTGAGATATAATCCTGTTGGCTTTAGAGGTGGCAGCAGACCAATTGAAAGCCTTGCACTTTGTCTAACGCAATTATCATAGTTTGAATTCCATCTCGTATTTATAGTTCCTCATAAAAGTTTGAATCTGAACAATCAGATTCATGTGAAGTGTCCGTCCCTGTGTCTCTTCCACCTCTATCTAATTCACTACTATAACGTTCCTAGGACACTGACATATTCTCGTGGAGATCGATACTGTGCACATAATGATGGAACGACATCCTTCAATATCCTCCTTAGCCGACAACGATGACCAGAGCCAGTTTGCTCACCTTCAATCCATGAAGAGAACCAGCTCAAACCACAACCGAGATCGAAGTGGATAAAGAGGTGGAAGAAGACTCGAGCCCAGACCTGCCTGCAGAAGACGAGATAACGATCCAGCGATCAACCAGCAGCACTGCGGAAAGAGAAGGAAGACGAGAATCACAGACTGAGAACAGAGTACTGGATCAACAAGATTCGTGGCTGGGTCATGGTGGTGGCTTCACTGGTTGGCAAGACGAACTAAGCTTGACGTCTTCGACGTCGCAGCCATCTTACAACAGCAATAGCTGAGGAAACAGTGGGACGACTGGGCATCGTGCTGGTTATCCAATACTTCTCCTACCAATGGCAGGAGTCATGATATCCGATCCAAAGCACAAACGCTAAAAGAAGCTCAACTGTGTGCAAGTGAAGAGTCCCACAGGCTGTCGACACACAATGTACGAATCAGATTGCAAAAGAAATCGAACCTATACACGAAAACAGAGAAGCACAAGATCACCAGTGTAGCGTAGTTACACTGGACATTCTACCGTTCTTTACATCACGCGGCTTCTCTTGCAAATATCAGTTTCTACAACACGCTAGACATTTCGTCACAATCTAAGTGGAGCTGAATTCGAGCCAGATTTGTTGGAACTCCTTGACAATGAGACTGTGATACTTCCACGAATTCAACGATAAGTAGCACGCTAGCAGCTCCTCCATTTCCTTCGGCGATCGAATGTTGTTTCCGATGATCATTTCCACCATCGACTCCCTGAAATCCCTTTGCGGATCCGAGGACGACTTCACCACCACCAAGCTCCCCAGTAATGCCTTGCTCTGTTGCACTGATGACTTACGGTTCCTGTAAGCCTGGAGACCGGCGAGGCGTGGAGTGCGATAAGCTCTGACCTCTGGTCTCCTTCCAATCCGCTTCCTGTGCTCCCGAAGAACGCAAGTCTTGTCCGGTGCGTCATCGTCATGGACATCCTTTATCGGTTTCGTCAGAATTGGTGGTAGTTTAAGCTCCGACAGTACTTCCAAGTCTCCACTCATGGTGCCCATGGTGTTGTCATCCGTGGAGGAATTTTCATGGCATCGATCAACGTAGTCACGATACGATGGGCTTTCAGACTCTGTAGCCTTCCTTTGGATGTTTGCTCTGGTCTTTCTCGGAGATAATGCGGGGAAATGAGTGTCTGAGGCCTTGTGGTTGACAGGAGAACGAGGAAACCCCTCTGTTCTTTCTCTGGTCGAGACGTAGTAGGAGGATCTTCGAGGGAGTTGAGCCAGTTCTCTGGGTGGCGAAGATGTATGAGGATGACTTCGCTTCATGGTGTTGTGGATGCTCTGGCGTCTGGTTGATCTGCCTATATCCTTGAGCTTGTAGAACCAGGAGCCAGGCATCATGTCAGATAACCTAAATCGATGATTGCCCATCTGCAAACTACACTCTCGATGGAAGAAGAACACTTTGTGATGGACTACTAGATAAGTAGAGCTTGATCCACATGAAGAGCATGAGCTAATTCTGCGGTTTCTTACGGATAGGAAACGTAAAGCTCCAGCCTCCAGATTTCTTTATGTCCCGAGGAGGAGGAGGAGGAGGAGGATAGTGGGAGACAAACAAAGAGAGGTGAAAGGTTGGTAGGAAGCAGAAAAGGTTGGGATTGTCGATAAAGATGGTGGTGGGATCAAAAACATAAACCGCATCCTCCTCTCAGAAACTAAAAGCAAATCAGAAACAGGGAACTACTGAGTGAAAGATGGAGAACACAATTATGATGACTGCTAATATTCAGCATGAAAAGTATATTATTTGATTTCATCAATTGATGAACTTGAGATGCCACAACGCATGGCCTTCTCCTGCTTGCTTGCAGGGAGTGTGGTAGGAGTACACACCCTTTAGAAGAGTGCCGAGGCCATTATGGCTGGAAGTCCGCAGCTTTACAGCCAAACGTGGAGCGCTTTTGGGGCGGTGTGACTCTCCGTGCGCTTCCGAGTGCGCTGTAACAACAGACATGCCGGCGAGATTAAGGTCGACTTTTAACGTGGGGGAGGGGCGAAGAGGAAGAAAAGCAGAGAAGGATATGCCGACGACATGTGCAGCGCGATTTGGTCATACATTGCAGCTAATGGTGGGCGGCAAGCGATTTCGATGTGCGTAGAAGCCACACGTAAAGGGCAAATATGTCATTTACTATCACGTCGGCAACGAATTATGGATCGGCTTATTTCTGACTTGAGTTTGAATTTAGATCTCGACACAACTTTATCCAGAATGAATTTTATATATATATATATATATATATATATATATATATATATCATACTGAATATATGTATTATATAATAATTCATACTGAATAAAACTGTGGATCCGTACAACAAACACACAATATACATATATATATATATATATAATCACAAGCTATCTTTACCTGATCTATTATTCTACATGAGATTTGAGCTACAGTTCATCATGTGTTTCCGTGCCAATTAACGAATTCGAATCATTGTCAACATGTTTCAGGGTAGACCAGATCAAAAACTACTGATAGAAATTAATGGGGGGTTGACTTGATGCTCAAACTCCCATGAACTTTGAGAACGCATGATCGGTTTGTCAACTCCCATCATTTTCCAGGTTCTGCCTACCTAATACTGTTGCTCTCTCATCAACTGTTCTTTGATAACAAGCCAAGATGCACGTCTCAACTCTCTCGAGTTCTCGTTGCCCTATTCATGGATGTTAACTCGACTTCAATTATGTCCAGACTTCTCCAAAAATCAAAAAAACTTTTTTCCTGCATTTTTATACACAATTATTACTTACATATCATTTATAGAATGATTTCTCCAATCTATATTTATAACTATATGTTCTTTTTCCTGTTGTTGTCAGGGTTCACAGTTCATATTTCTGCACCATTGTAACCCAATCAAGTAGCACATACCATGATGTTTAAATCCCCAAAACAATTACATATACAGCAACTTGGCTTCTTCTCATCCATTTTGCTGTCCTTAAGTTATGCTAAACACACAAGCGTGAGAAACATTACAAGTTACTATCGTAAACTTCTTCTCATCCTTTTTTATTTGCACTCTCAAAACACCAGAAAGCTATGTCTTTTCGTGGATACTGTAACAGTCTTCTTCTGTCATCTAAGAATGTCCTCCATTGGATCCATCACTTGGACCGGACGGCGGCGCGATGTCTTTAAACATGGTGAAGAGGACCGGCGCCGACGAGGACGTCGCCACGAGCTTCTTATTCTTCGACACCAAGCCAACGGTGGTGGCCGTCGCCGTGTTGCATGGCTGGGCAGATGGAGGACTATAACTCGAAGCTGTCTTCCCTGGGCCGGAGGTGACCGGACCGAGAGGTCTCGCAGTGCATTGCTGGAAGATGATTAGGATTAGAAGACATGCAGTGACTTTGTATTGGATTGCCATGGCGGATAACAAGAGGTAGTATGGTAGTGCAGACCAGCACTTGCGTTGAGGTTATTTATAGAGGAGAGTGGAGGCGAGCAAAGTGAACGAAGGGGGAAGACGGAAGGAGTGTGTGTTGGAGAGCTCGGAAATGGTTACGTCAGAGGTGAGAGAAGCGAAGGGACTCCAACCCTCCGTTGTTTGACTTCCACATGCGTTCACGAGCAGAGGAAGAAGAAGATGGCACGTTATTGTGAGAGTTAAAGTGGGAAATTAGGTGATTAAACATTTGATCGATGTGGTGGATATCCGTGCAGGTACGTAGATCAACAGGGAGCTAATGGTGATCGATCGAATCGTCAAAGATACTGGCATTCGCCCACTGATTCTTTCGGCGAAAGAAGTCAATTGGTGGTTTGACTTTTTATTCATCTTGTCCACCGGAGTCAACGTCCGGTTTGGCATTTGGAATGCTAAGAGCTGAAGATTACTGAAGTATGGAATCCGATGAATTAAGGATCGAGTTTTTGATGGATGGATGGAGTGTTGGAGTACAATTTCTTACCGTGAAACACCATCCAAAAGAAATCAATGGCACGACACCATCACTTTCTTTTAGTGACATGACGTGGTTAGGGAATGGAGGAAAGATCTAAGCAAGGATACAGAGTTTGATCTTTTTACACAACATCCCACGATCTCTCTTGTGGCTTTAAGACACAAGTCTCTCATGAAGTTGACAGTTCTACAACACTAAAAGTAGCCAAAATATTGTGCTTCTTGCTGCACTTTCTTGCACATCGCCCTCACTCTTTGGATTCTGGAGTTCTCGGTATTCCCGAGCCGTGGTTGATGGTGGTAGTGGACAAGTTGTCTTCCTCCACCAAATGCTCATCAAAGCTTTGTGTGAACATAGTTCATGGAATTGGACAAGTTATCTCCATCCTCAAGTTTTCTTCCATTCAAAATTGTTGCTACTTCTGTCTTGAATAAAAATTCCATAAAACAAAAAAGAATGGATGAATCCCTGAAATATATATATTTTTAATTTATTTTCTCATGAAGTATTCCCATTTTCGGAATTCCCTAATAATATATTCTTTGCCTAATATATGAAATATCATTTACTTCACCATCATCTATACCTAAGTGACAGTAATTTTATATTTTATTACAATGTTTTCAATAATATTATAATATAATATTTTTATAAAAAATACTGTATTAAACATAATAATGTTTATACTATATCATGGTGTTTTCAATAATATCAATAAACCACTATAACTTAGTATAAAAATACTTAACACAATATTTTTATTACATTATACTATTTTTTTAATACTACTGAAAATATCTGAACATAATGTAAAAATACTATAATTGAACCGATTCACTTTCGGTCCATTAAAAAAGAGAAAAAAAATAGATAGGTTGTCGGATTATAAGTATTTTAGGTATTAGATTAAAAAAAAATGTTTCGTGCAAAACTCCAAAAAAATATTTTTTTTGAGAATTCATAAAAAATAATAAAATAAAATAATCTATATTATAAATGACTACTGTATATTTGTGGCAATATTTCACATGCATCCGAAAATGAGAAGGACGTGCACGGCAGTCTGATGTGAACAACTCTTGACTCGTCGAGTCAAATCTAATCCAAATCGATTCGCCCTGACCCGATCTAATCCGCGTGAACATAAGGGCAGGACCTTTTTGTAATTGTGACCACAGAAAAGCCCTAAATATAATAAATGTGGCGGTGAACCTAAGAGCCGTCACGAGTCTCTCTCGCCCTCTTCTTCCCTGTTCTCTCTCTCTTCTCCTCTCGTGTCGCTCATTCTCGAAGCCCATGGAGTGCAGCATTCGGAGCTCGTCTCTGGTGCCGCCGAGGCCGGCGTCTCGCCTCGGAACTTCCTCGGTACCCGCGAAGCCCCGATTAGTGGTACAGAGGCTTATTTCTCTGTTTCTTTCCTGAATTCCCTCTTTATGTTTTTTCTCCCCTCTGTGTTAACCTTTTTTGTGAGATATTTTCCTTATATATTTTTTTTTTGAAGGGATTGAAGCCCTCGATCGCCCGAAGTCGTCTGGTGTTCTGTAGAGCGGCTGGGTCTGATGACAAGGATTTGGGAAACGGGTTCCCGAGAGTCACCAGCAAGGTTTTCGTGGAGGAGGTGAGCGGCTCCAATTTCACTGTTCCTTCTAGCTCTTACCGCAGGATAATGCGATCGATTCGTTTTACGGTCGTCTGGTATGAACTGAGTTGTCCAAAAGCAGAATTCGGGATACTTGAATTGAATGCCTTAATTGGAGCAGCAAGCGACTATAATTGTGTTAGTTTGGATGGAATTGAATTGGTATGTTATGACTAGGAGCAAATCACGTGACCTTAAGCTGGGTCTGAATGGAATTCGTTTATTGAAGTCGTACTATTTATTGAATGCCTGATATAGCATCATTCTTCATGAAAACACTTGTACTCATTGTCTTTCTTTTAACACGGTATAATTCCTCTTTTTGTGTCACACCCAACCCAAAAAGCATCGATGGTTTGGTTTAAATGACAGCACAATGGTAAATACATATACAATTTATTCAAATCTAACTTGATCCGCCAGTTATATATGCAACCCATACAATGTCTTGGTCGGGCTGAATTGGGTTGATACAATCTGATTGCATTTATTTATTCTAAATATGATTTTCTTTATTTTAGTAGTTAATTCAAATCTTAAACAAGAATACTACTGGAATAATAGGTAACTCAAAGCATTTCCTTTTTTTCTTTCCAAACATCCAAGGGTATTAAGGCATTCAATTCATTTCTATTATTTTCCAAACAGAAAGCTAACTTTCAATTCAATTGAACTCAGTTTCAATCAACTGAAATCTATTTAATTATAATTAAGTTAAAGTTGATTCAGTTTTACATAAAGTTGGTTCCAATTAGAGTGTTAAAAGATGAGCTCTAAGCTTGAAATTCATTTTTATGGAATTTTAGAACCTAAATTCAGAGATTGATGGTGATGAGACAGCTTTTTGAAGATTAGCAAGAAAGGAACAACCGGGATTTCATATTTGATAAATGTAGCCTTGAATTTTATATCTTTCATCTTTTTGTTGTATAATGACTTCTGCCTTTGGCTGTCACCATATTAATGAAAGTGGTTCAAGCGTGCATATGTTGGTTCCAGGCAATTGGAGCCGAATATGGAGAAGGTTTTGAGACGTTTAGAATGGATGGTCCACTAAAGGTTGATGTGGTAAGAATCTCGACTTCTTGTTCTTTGCAGTCTTGTGATGTTCATTGTTGTGAGATAAAAATTGATGATGCTGATTTTTTTAGGATTATCTAAATGATAAATTGCAAGAGTGCTTTCTTCAACGGGTACGGCATGCCATGAAGCCAGATGAAGCATTTGGACTTATCTTCTCATGGGACAATGTTGTGGTAATTACTGAAACTCTTTTGGTATCTTTGTATCTCTTTGTTATGTTTTCTAGTAGAACCAAATCAATCATAGGCACTTGTTGCCAACATTTGTTGATCTGTACCTGTCATTTCCTGGAAACATCTAACCCACTGTAGGCAAGTAATCTGATCCTGTACATGCTTCAACATTTACAGTTGTTTGCAAAAGTAACAAACTGTGCTATATCAACTGTGACATTAGTTGAAAAACACCAGAACCTCCAGGGAAGTTCAACAGTGGAAAAGAGTTTAGTGAGAGCTTGGGCTTGACTTCAGAAGTTTAAGAACACAGTTTGGTCTTGTGAATAGCTGCAGCCTGATGATGCCTTATAGGTTCTATAGGAAGAGTATCAAAAAGCTGCTATTTTCTTAGAGTAGTTGCAAGTATCTTGGAGCATTTTTTTTTCAGTGTCTTTTGCTTTTGTTTTTTGTGTATTGTATGACATGAGCATACTTTTGTGTTTGTCTCAGGCTGACACCCGATCTTTGAAATTGGATGCTTGGAGACAGCTTGCTTCTGAAGAGGGTATGTTTGCAGCTGATATAAGGAATATGCTGTTTTGTCACGCATTCAACATATTCAGCAGCATTTAGTGGTCCACAGAAAAAGCACTAGTATAATTAGTTTGTACCAAGATTATGGCATCAAAAGTGATGGTTCCTGGGTTTTGAAGGCTGTGAGCGAGTGGTGGGAAGGAGTTGGTATTTTACTAATTTTTTGTTTTCTTGTTTTTTCACAATCAAGAATCTGTTAAATTAATGATTGGGCAAGTCAAAAGAATGGGTGAACCAAAATACCTAAGTGCTTGACCAGGAGTCTTTGCATGACAGTATAATTTCCCACTTAAGTTCTCAAGTCAGTTGTATTGGAGGTATCTGGTTATTGGATCATCTAGTTATTCATTCTTTTGGTCTACTAAAGCACCCTGGTTTTGGGAGATTGTATGTGTTTTAATGCATCTTTTTTCCTTAGAATCTCATTTGTTTCCCAGAACTTCATGGTTGTGACCATTCTGTCAGTCTAATGCCTAATAATCTTGTACATAAATTCTAGAGATATTGGAATAGTTTGAACTAAAAGCAATTTGTTGTTTGCATGCCATTATCTACAAGGCACATAATGGATCCTGTATCCTGATTGGGACCACTTTTGGCATGATATTTTCTTCATTGCAGTTGAATATTATCTTTGTGTTTTGCTCGATTGTTCTGGAGGTCTTATGCCGTAGCTGTTATTGTACCCTATTCTCATGCAGGAAATGAATTTTCAAGTGACAGACACATAAACAAGTTGATTCTTCATACAGCTGCTGATCATGTCCTTCGTAAGGTAAAGATCTATGCTTGGATAATTGTACTTCGGCCACTGATTTAGTGTAGTTGTTTTTCTAGATGTTGATCATGTCTTGAGTGGTAAGTAGAATAATGGCATATTGAATCTAGAACTTTGATGCACTAAAAGCATCTAATGTGTAATGTATTTGATTTATCTTAAAGGAGATGATTTCCTTCTAGGTATTTCTGGTGGAAATCGTATATGAAAATATCTGTATAATACATTGGCATTCAAGGACTTGTTCTTCATCAAACTGTTAAAAACACAGATGAGCTTGTAACTACACTAGATTATTTGTCTGGATCTGCTTCTCCTCCAAAAGAAACCTGTAGCTACGTCTTTCTAAATACAACATTATTTTGATGGAAAATCATTCATTTTCGGTGATGCACTGATTGCTGATGTTTGCTGAAATGGCACAAAAATCATCCAATCTAAAAACCGAGCATGGTTGCTTTTTTTTTTCCTTATCTCTATTAGCCAGTGTGGGATTTTGGAGCCAATTTGAGTCAATATCTATATGAATTTGTGATGCCTTGATAAGGTGCACCTATGAAACTCATTGCACAAAACAGACTGATTTTGAACAGGTTACTAGAACCTGAAGGCATTGTGGCTGACTGAAGGTGTAAAGGTCATTAGTTTCTTTGTGTTATGATGTTATCATGAGTTAGGCTGAACAAAGTGAGATATTTATAAAGCTAGATCGATAATTTGGTTAGTTTTGGGTTTTCCTTTAGGGCTTATGACCTTCATACTTGGTGGACATTGGAGCGGCCACTGCAAAGACTGAACTAATTTCTTCTAGTGGATTCTGCCTCCCCCTTGCCTCTTGCCTCTATATGCTTCTCTTCCTTAATCTTTCTCTTGTATCCTTTCTCACTTATAATATACTGTTTCATGGTATTGCTACATTCTTTTAAAACTCCAGTTCAACTAGGTTACATTAGAATTTGCTTGAAAACAATACGATCAGCTAAGGACAAAAAACGATGGAAATGTTATTGACTCACACAGAGCTAAGATTGATGTTCTGATGGCGATTATCCAAGCTTTCAAAAATTGGCTGACCCAGATCAGGATCAATATACTATGTATATGGGCTTGGTCATCAGCTTTACTTTAGCAGAGATGTAACATGCTACACTGATATTGATGTCTTTATGCATTTTTTTTGCCTGACCTTGCTACATTGATATAAAGGTATCAACTAGCTTGGTTGATAAGGACTTTGAGAGTTTATCGCAAGATATTAGTCTCAAATCCCGTCTTCGTCACTTACCCTTTGCAAAAAATGAAAAAAAATATTTCTTGAATACATGCTAGCTTTAATAAGGGAATTTCAAATGAATGACAAAACGTTGATTTTTTGGAGTTTTTAGAAATTTTAGTTTTAGCTTATTTAACTAAAATTTCAAAGGACAGATTGTGAACTGACATCTGGTGCTTGGTTGCATGTCTGTACAAATTCTACCAAATATAACTATCACAAGAGTGCATCTTGTCATTTTAGGCTGACTAGGCACAAATCAGAAGAAGTTTTATATCTTCCATAGAAATTACTAGAAGCAGCTAAGAATTTTTTTGTATCATCTCAATTAAATTCTGAGTATGTCATGCTCCTATAAAATGGCAACCAAATAGACCAATGCTGTTGTCGATCCTGTGTTTTTTCTTTGAGTAGTTTTTCTTTTCTTGGTATCAAATAAGAATTTTTAATATATAGAGCTGCATTCATTAGTAAATGACTGATGTTGCAGGATTCTTTTTGAGTTTCCAGGTTTTGTGCTGGGAGGAAGAAGAAAGTGAATTGGAAAGATTGAAGTCACGGCTGTCACAGTTATACTATGAGAATCTTATTAAGGTATGTTTCTCCTTATTACATGCATGACCGTCAATGAATTCTCTATGAGCTAGTTACAAGCTTTTTTGCTTGTCCAGCTAGATGCACCAGTTGAAGGATTAAAAGAGTGGCTAGATGCAGTCCATACAGCAGGCATCCCTTGTGCCATTGTATCATGTCTTGATCGAAGATATATGCACGAGTCCTTGCAGAAAATGGGGCTTAAAAAGTATTTCCAGGTGGATTTTATGCGGAACTCCACTCGTCCTTTACTTTTTATGATTTTTTTTGATGCAGCCATCAAGCTGATGGTTGCTTCTCGTGGCATGTAGGCTATTGTGACTGAAGAGGATGGAATGGAGTCTATAGCTCATCGATTCCTCTCAGCTGCAGTAAAGGTATTTGCAAAACTTAAAACTTGATGTCAATACAAATTTACATCTCTTTTTCTATTTCCTGTGGATGTTTAATTTCATTCTGAATTCTTACTAGGCTGTATTATCATCTCTATAATGAAGATGCTGTTTTAAGATTCTCTTAATTGATGATGTTGCTTAATGTCACAATGGCCAATATTATATAAAGTAAAAACTCAAACCTTTACCCTGAGAGAATAACCCAAATGTTGGATAATTACTAATCTGTTTCCATTTTACTGCAAAAATTTAATGAAGTATTATCTTTGCCCTGAGACTAGTTCAAAAGTGGGATAAATTTCTCACTTTACTGGTTATTTTTTTGACATTAAACTGGATGGAAGCCCAAGGGAAACAATGGATTATTAAGCATGGGTCAATGTGAAAAGATAATTTGTGACAGATTTAAAAGTAACTTAGTTATCCTTGTATAGTCAACCAGCTATGGTGCAGTGCAGACAGTCAACTGAAAGAGAAATAAGTAATAAGCTACTACTTAAAAACAATATCAAGTGTCATGCTAAATCAATTAAATTCTTATTCTACAGAACTAAAATTTAGAAAAACAATATATAAACAAAAAAAGGGGCCAAATTAAACATTATAATAAACACATACAAATTCAACAAAAAAATAATTAAAACACATTCTTGGAGTTGTCATATTTTCATTGGCACCTCGAGATTTTAATTCATTTTAAACCCATCATGGATCAGGATTTTTTTTCTCCAACTTGTTGCTTTTCATTGCTTCTGAGTTCAAGGGTGAAAACTACTGAATTCATGGTTCTTGACTCTTGGCCACTTCAAGAAGCCGACATACTCCAGATTTTCTTTTGTCATTTTTCTTAATGATAAATAATCTTATCTCACTTCCGCTGGCCTTATCTAATTACCTAATATCATCTGGTCATTGACTTGATGAACACCTGTCAGCTGATTGAATTGTCACAATACCATTATCTTGCTGTGTCGCCAGCCTGCTTCCTCTCCAGCACAGCTACTAATCTTAGAACAAAATGGAGGTATTGTTGCAAATATTGTCTTTTTCAACATCTTCAAACAACTGAATTCTGATTACAGTGTTCAAGTTGGCATTACCTTCCTGCCAACTTCCTACCGGGATTGACATGTCACTCCTATTAGCTGCTCTATTTGACAGGGTGCCTTGGTCTAATAGCTAGGATGGGTTTGAAGTTAAGGTGTTGTAAATGGTAGTGGAAGAATGATGCAAGGGTTGGTTGTTGAGTTCTCATGGCAGCATGCTTGGCAGATGTGGCAAATGAAACAGTAATCCTGGTACAGAATTTAGTCCCTGTGGGATCTCTACTGTGTTTATTTGACACTCAGGTTATCTGAAATCTAAAATATCTTATATGCATTACATGTCTTTTACTTTCAACTAAATATATTTACATAAGTTCCTGTTTTCTCTTTCCCAAATTGGGTGACTCAATATGTGGACTGTAAATTCAATATAAAATTTGTAGACAATTTGGTTTGTGATTTTTTTTTTCACTTCCAATGTTGTGGGATATACATTTGTTTTCAGTATTTGAGTTGCATGTATCTTATTCTTTCTTTCTCTGGAATTTAAGATATTAGGAGCAACATTAGTATACTTCTTGCCATGGTGGCTAATTGTTGTGTCCAAAATAATGTGTTGCTATATTTTAGTTGGTTGATGTTCTTCATTTTCCGTGTTAGATGGATAGAAAGCCCTCCAAGTGTATTGTATTCGAGGATGATCCTAGAGGCATTACTGCTGCCCATAACTGCACAATGATGGCTGTAGCTCTGATTGGTGCTCATCCTGCGTACGTGTGTTTCATCTTTCTTAACAGTTTGATTGCATTTTATATTACTTGATTGTAATGTACCTTCAAAGTGCGTCTGTTATTTGATATGCTTAATACCCACTTTAAACTTATGATTATGAGTATTCAATTGCGATATGTAGTAATTAATAAATTCTTATCAGGTACTAGCAAGAATCCACTATAGTTGGCAAACCCACGTGCCTTCAGATCAGTTATTGCTTGCAACTAGTTATTGTTCCCGGCAAATCTTTTAAAGCGTTAACCTTGAACTCTTCAGTTATTTGGATATAGCAACTGCATTGAAGTTGTAGATTGTAGTATGAACTTATTGGGTGTGACGAATGGGACTAATCACATAAAGAGAAGACTGTTGTTAACCAAGTCACGACGAGCATGCCATATATGAGAATTGTTTAGATTGATAGCTTAATTATCTGGGGATCAAAGTATATTCACCTGTATTGGTTGGTAGAGACCGGTATTTACTGATCAAACGGTCAATCAAGAAGTGGACTAAGGGATTTAACCTGATTTGGTCCAGTATGGGCTTGTACTGTCTAATAAGCTCACTGTACTGAGTTTATCTAGGGGTAACCATACTGGTTTCAAATTGTACCACCTGATACCAGTATTGTTTTTTAATTTCAGCCACTTGTCACTGTCCTTTCTTATTCTTTTTCTTTCTTTCTTTCTCTCACACATGCTCTCTCCCCTCCTCCCCGTTGCACCATTGCTGCCACCGCCTCCTCCCATTGCCACTGCTGCTGCCAGCTCCTCTGAGTCACCATCTCCTCCTCTGCCTCCTACTGGTAGTCTCTTTCTCTGCCTCCTTTTCTCTACCTCCCTTCTTCTCACCCTCCTCTTTGGTCCAAAAGATATCAATCCATAGTGAGTGTTAGTACATTGATTTATACCAATACCATATCAATCTGGCCGCAATCAGTGTTTGGTGGAAGATCAAGATTTTAATTACTGTGGTGGATTATACACATATTATGCATCTTACAGTGTTGAAATAAGAGGGACATCAAATGTGACAGATCTGCTGGAACTTGATAATAAGTGGCAGTGATTGAGGACTGTAGGCCCTTTTGTTCCTTGGGTGTGGGTTGAGGTTAGCAGCGTAATAAACATGAGATTGCACATGAACTAATTAGCTGAGGTGATGAAGGTTTGGTTGGTTGCTGATCAGGAACACTGGCATGCTGTAGTGAGGGCCGTTGTCTGCCTCATTAATAAAGTGAGGAGGGATGACTTATGGCAAGTAAAATATGAATGACTTGAAAATTACCAAAACTAAGGTAACATAGCAAGTTGGTGACCGGAGTAGTTGTGTTTCACTTTTAATTTTGTGATGTGAGCAAAGTGAATCTAGGACTAGGAACAATAAATATGTAGGGCGTGATAGACAAATTGCCTACATTATCGCCATCTTGGAGTTCCAAAATATGTTACATGGGATACCTAACAGATGAAAGTAATTAAAAAAGCAATATCTTCAGCCAGGACAGCTATAGCTTGGTCATGTAGAATGAAGATATAGTAACCATGGATGAGACATCGCTGACCTCTAAAAGAAATTTGGACAAACATGCTGTGAATTTATTGATTGTCAGAGAAGGTGTTATACAACAACTGATATACTTATAATAGTTCAGTTGCTTTTGAGAGTATCTGTGGGCCCATAATAAGGTTCCGAGGCAAGTTAAGAAAACCACCCCAATTTAGATGAGGGCATTCTTCATCACTTACAAGGGCAGCCAAGAGTGGTCTGATGGTGCATCTGTGGCATAGTTTAGTACAGGATATTGCTGATATTTTTTTTGCATTCCAATTCATAGTTGTGAACCATATATTTCATCATTTCTGGCACTTGGGAAGAGGGCTTTCACAGTTTAGATATTTGCTTTCTATAATGGATTTATCCTCAGAAATTGAGCTGAAAAGAATTTTTCACTCTACTGTTATCTGTTCTAATATTAACAGACCAAACATTGAGGGTTACCTTGAGATATGACAGTCTTATGTGAGACCCCTATAGTATGTGAAAATAACTTGAGTATTATTAGAACATGGAGTTCCTTCTCCATCCTGTCAATCAATGTGCTTTTATAAGGAAAACTTACATGATGTTGTGTTCCGTAGTCTTCTTTTGCTTTGTTTCCCTATGATTTTTGGATGGTCTTTCATCACTCCACTGAAATTTGTTTACTAGATAGCTATTGTCGTAAAGTGACTGTAATCTTTCGCTACTCTTTCTGCAGGTATGAGTTGGTACAGGCCGATCTTGCTGTTGCTAGCTTTAGTGAGCTCTCTGTGATTAACCTTAGAAGATTATTTGCTCACAAGGGATCAAGTTTTATGGATTTGCAGAAGCAGATAATAGAGAAATCACCACCGAAAAGAAAGCTCATGACCGATACAATTTATTAATTTTCCCCCCCCTTCTGCACGTCTCTTCTTTTTGGTTCAGGTAAAGAAAAGCCCTGTACATATCACTTTTCTTTGAAGCCCTCCAATAAGCATTTTTGCAAAACGATTCAAATATGAGAAAATAAGTTTTTTTTCTCTCTCTCCCTCTCCCTTTATTGACATTGTGTCTCTTGTTATGCCTTATTATATTTTATTGTTTTCTTGGGGCATTTGTTTGGAAGTTATAAATTGCTCATATGGTTCTATTATTTTTTCACGCAATAAGCACATCATTGTCAAAGCATCGGAGAACAAAATGGTGTACACTGGAACCTGTCATTCCATGAATGATGGGATGGGATGGAATGGAAGATCGAAGCTATGGGAATTGTCAATCGGGTGGGTTTCACTCACCTGGAATCTGCCATTCCTACCGACCGAGTTGGGTACTTGAAATCATGTGCCACGCCTCCCATTGCACTTCAAAATGAGTTGATGACAATTAGTTTTCCAGTGCGACAGGTGTCCAGTTTATAGTAATTTGAGAGGAGAAATGTTGTCCTCTTGCTAAACTTTTGGGTGTAGAAGTTCATAGAGTTCTTTTTTCTGTTAATATAATTTGAATTAAATTCTATAGTTAGAATTTTGATAAGAATCAATATAATGAAGTGGATCTCCTGTTTGACTTAGTTTTGGAGTTTAAGCATTTAGAATAATAACAATGATCATAGAGTTTAAACATTGTGTGCTGACGGCCATTTGTGGTTGCCACCATCAAAGGTATCCATCGTACACTCGCATCTTCGTCGACGGTATCATCGGTTCGCTAGGGACGTTGACCTTGATCAATTGGCGACTCTGGTACACCCCTGTAGTAGCAAGATTCACTGTCGTATCGGTGGCGGTGAGCTCAATGCCTTCGACCTCATAAGACCCTTCGCATCCGGGCTTGACCTTTCCAGCCTGGTCACTGATGCAGCCTCGGATCAGGAGCGATTCGCGTCTAGCGAGACGACGGACCGAATTATGGATCGAGTCGAGGAGGTGGGGGAGACAAAGGGCTTGGCGGTGATCGAGAGGAAGAACGGGGATTTCGTGCTGTCGGTGGAGGTCTACGGGTTTGCCGACGATGTGTTGGTGGAGGGGTTTGCCGACGATGTGTTGGTGGAGGAGGTGGGCGACGATGCGGTTTGAAGCTTATGGAAGGAGAAGCCGAGGCCCGCGTTGAGTGGTGCAGTTCACCTCGGTTTGTGATCGATTACTATATAGCTAGATATTTTTAATATTTATTTTTAATATTAAATTAAATTTAAATATTTATAGTTATTAAAAAATATTTAATCTCATTTATCTTGCTCAAATATCATATTAATAAGGTCTAACTATATTGAAACATTTGGTAAAATCTAAAATAAGATTTAAATCGAGAAGAGTTAATTATATATTATATCATGTAGTTAGTTACTTTTAATATCTTGATCTTTATGTTTTTAAAAATTATATTGAGATAAGATTAAAAAGATAATTTCATAGGATTAAAAATTAAGAAAGAAAATTTTTTTGTTGGAACAAAAGGGTTAAATGCTTCATAAATATAGAAATCATAATATAAGTCTTGAAAGTATAGGAATTAGAATAATATGTAATTAGACCCATAGAGAAAGGCATCGATACAATATACCTTATGTCACCTTCCCACTCTAAAGAGCTGACATGTCTTGGTAATGGTTGTAACATTTTGCCCTTCTCTTAAGCAAAATGCCAAAACATGGAGCCAGAGAACTGCTGGAACATGCAAATGCAAATGCACAACAGCGTACCCCATGGATTTCTTAGTTGATCTTCCTACAGTTGATCCTGATCTCTCCGCTGCTACCAGTCAAAGGACTAATGCTTGCCATCTTCACCATGGCGCTGGCGAAGTCGCTGAAGAACTTGGCAGAGTTCGTGGCGTAGGAGCCGACTTGAGACTCCACCGACCCTCCTCCATTCATGAACAGCTGCTGGTCCGAGTGCAGGAGCCCTCTCTCCCTCACCAGATTGGCGTAGTAGTCATTGTCGAACACGGTCGGCGTCGTCGAGTCGAGCGGCGACAGCTCGTTGTCGCCGCCAGAGCTCGAGCAGTTCGACTGCAACGACGACGCAAAGGAGGGGTCGATGTTCGTGTCGTTGTAGATTCGGGCTCGGAACAGGAAGCACCGGGCTTGACCTATCGTATGAGCCCCTGCAGGTATTATCACATGCAGCTTACTCGATCGAATGGAGCTCCAGAATTGGATGTAAGGTGGGGTGAGGAATGGCTGTGACGGAGAATTACCGGAGAGGGCTGCCATGTCGGAGGCGCTAAGGCCTTTGCCGGAGAAAGAAGAGATGAGAGTGCGGAGGTCGGCGGTGGGACCGGGGATGTCGGTGTTCGCGGAGCTCAAGCTTGCGGTGGTGGAGTCTCTCCTGCCCAATTCAACCGTCCATGTCGGTCCTCCTAACTGTGAGATGTTTTCCCCGTAGCAGATTAATAAGACTTGAAGCCTTCTATTTGACTACAATTACGGCAGCGTAAAGGGGTCACGAGATCCAACCGCGACGACCGAGTCGCGAGCAGCGACGGCGACGATGTCGGCGCAGGACACGACTTGCTTGCAGGCGCTCTCCAGCTTCGACTTGATGGCGTCGATGACCTCAAATCCTCTCAGGGAGTTGTTGTTGGGGTTGGCGGTCTTCTCCCCTGTGAAGGTCGAAGTGTCATCCAGCAATAAAGAAGCATCACATCCCTGCGAGCCAGCAACACATCGTCCATTAATCCTCCTCTGGTTGATCCTAATTGTGCGCTTCTGATCTAAATAGAAGCCTAATCAAGCTAAAGAAGAAGACTTGCTTGAACAAAGCAGTCGTGGAAGTGAAGCCTGAGCAAGGAAGCACCCATGCGGCGGTCCCTGGCCACTGCTGCTCTCACGGCGGTGCGAATGATGGAGAGAGCATTCGGGCATGAGGTGTTGTAGAACGTCGGCGACAGCTGAGCTGAAGCTAATGGAACGAAGAAGAAGCTGATGATTAGCGAGCACAAAGCGATACTGCAAGATAAGCCCCGGAACGAAGCCATTTCTGTGCACGGAGGTCAGCACCTACTCCCGTTTCTTATTAATAAACACATGGCTGCCAATCATGACATAGTCTTCCCTTTGAAAGTTCCTCAAACAGGGAAATCACAAGGAACATACAACCAACAGGAAAAGCCAAACCTTTGACCATATATATATATATATATATATATACATATATATATATATATGTATATATATATATATGAGAGAGAGAGAGAGAGAGAGAGAGAGAGAGAACAGTTGAAAACCTGAACATTCAAATGGCAATAGTTTACTTCAAAGGTACACAAGTTTTAGACAGTTAAAAAAACATCCAAATCAATTCAATTAAATTTGATATGATTCAATTAAAGATAGAAGCGTCGAGTACTTGAAGTGCCACCTACATGTAGATCGAGATCGAAAAATGTTTTCTGATCAGATCCCTCTGATGCCCAAGTAAGTAACCTGAGATATATGAATTCAATCATCAATAGTAAAAAAGAATATACTTAGCAATAAATGGATAAAATATTTTATAAAATATTCTTTCAGGGGATAATTTTTAATCATTTATACTTTCTAACAGTAGATTTCCCTTTGGTTTTGTCAAAAAATTCTCAATATAAACTATTGATCTTTTACGTCTAAACCGCTATATTTGAAAATTTACACTGTAAAATTTCAACCGCATAACATAGTTTGTTTGATCTTGCTACTATGTTTTTTCTATCCAAATCTCTATGAAATTTTTATAATATCTTTGACACTTCCTAATAGTGGATTTTCCTTTGATTTCGTCGAAAAATTCTTAATATAAACCACTAATCTTTTATGTTCAATCTGCTATACTTGAAAATCTGTGATGTAGAAAATTTCAATCACATATTGTTGCCTTAACCCATCTATTTACAATCTTTATTGAATGAAATATCTTACATACTTCATAGATCATCTTGGCTTCTATCTAAGATTGATCTATTGAGGAGTTCATCTTTAAAAATGAATTTGTGTTGCTGTAAATTTTCGTTGTAAATCGCTGAAATTTTTCAACGAGAATTCTGCTATCGCAACTTGCATCAATTTCCTTGCTATTATACTGCTGAAATTTTCTTGATTAAATTGGACATCCTTGCTGCCATATAAAATGAGATTTTGCTATCAATTCTCTCATCAAATTTCTTAAGTTTTTGGTGGAAATTTCATCGAGAAACCGTTGTTTCTTCGACGATAATTCTGCTCTTACAAGACAACACATACCTGCAGTAATTTTCATTGATTTCTATCAAACCTTTGCTGCCATCTACTGCAAATCTAAAACTTTCATCCATAGCCCTAAAACTCCACTAAACCACACCCTCAAACTGCACCCAAAATAACTACAAAATAAGCCTAAACCGCAGCCTACATCCACTGATCCACCAACCCTTTCGACCATCACTTCTCTCAACCTATACATACCTTTAACCAGACAACAAAAGAGAGATCTTAACATCACATATTTGAAGGCATATACTATGGCATCTGAAGAGGCAATCAATACTAAATTCGAAGCTTTCGAGGCGCGAATGGAGGATAAGATTTGGACGCTCTTTACCGAACTCAGATTGGGCCGACCACTAAGCCCGAAGAAATCATATCAAGGAGAGAACTCTGCCTAATCATACTAAGCCCGAAGAGATGACTTCCAAGGGAGGAGAGGCTCTATGACCGACCCCAACTATCCACGCATGAGGGTGGACTTCCCTAGATAGGAAGAAGGAGACCCGATTGGTTGGATCTCGCGCACGGAGCAATATTTTCGGTACCACAAAATCGCGGATGCATTTATGGTAGAAATGACGGCTATACATCTTGAAGGAGATGTCATACAGTGGTTTGACTGATTTGAACACACTCATGGAGTCCTCTCATGGCAACAATTCAAAGAAAGACTGTTGATCCGCTTTGGACCAACCGATTACGAGAACACCGATGGACAATTAGCAAAGATCCGACAAACCTCCACCATTCAGGAGTACCAAACCAGGTTTGAAAGGTTATCTAATCAATCTCATGATTGGTCTGAAAAATAACTATTGGGGATCTTCATTGAGAGCTTGAAGCCGGAGATCCGGGGAGAAGTTAAAGCATGACAACTATACACGCTTATGACAGCCATCTCTTTCGCACAATTTTAAGAGGAGCGATTGAACCATGAAGTCCGGAGGACTAGGGTCACTCCTCGACTAGCAATACTAAAGCCCTCAGCCCCCCTACTATCGACTAAGTCCCTGTACCAAAAAGGTTGACAAGAGAAGAGCTTCGGGAGCGATATGCGAAGGGGTTATGTTGGCACTACGACGAGCCGTGGAGCCGTGAACATTGTTGTAGTAAAGGGAGACTTCTTATAACTGAACCAGTAGAAGAAAAAGTCATTGAACATCCAGAAAAGAGCCTTGAATATGAAAAAGAAGATGTGGAAGAAGAGCCACAACCGACCGACATTACAGTACATGCACTAGCTGGCTACTCAAACTTGCAAACGATGAAAGTTGGAGGCCTTCTCAAACAACAACCGATCACTATTCTCATCGACATGGGCAGCACTAATAACTTCCTAAATAGTAAGGTTGCAGCTCGGATGACACTCTACATTGAAGGTTGTAGCAAGTTTGATGTAAAGGTCACCGACGGTAGAACCCTAAAGTGCAACCAAAGATGCCCGCGGGCGAAACTGTTGCTGTAGGACCAAGAGATAATTACATATTTCTTCCTCCTCCCTCTTGATGATCATGAGGCTATGCTCAGAATTAAATAGTTGATGACATTAGGTGATATTTCTTGGAATTTTATGAAACTAATTATGAAATTTTACAGTAAGGAGAAACATGTGATACTGCACAGGAAACGTTGAGGCGACGTAATGACGATTTGCACACAACAAATGGAGAAGGTTTTGCATAAAGCATGCAGCGGTTTTTTGGTACAACTTGAGCAGTAAACTAAGGGAGAGCCAACAAAATTTGAAGATCCAATCTTTGCTTGCTAAATTTTCAGATATATTTGACGAACCGCACAACCTACCTCTTACCCGTCGGCATGATCATTGTATAATGATTCTTCCAGGAAAACCTATAGCAAATACTCAGCCATATCAATATCCACATCTCCAGAAGGATGAAATAGATAGGATTATAAAAGAGATGCTCAAAATAGAAGTTATTCGGCCAAGTTGCAGCCCCTACTCTTCACCGGTGCTCCTCGTACGAAAGGACGGAATATGGCGATTGTGTGTTGATTACCGAGCTCTTAATGACATAACCGTCAAGGACAAATACCCTATTCTAATAGTAGATGAATTGATAGATGAAAGGGAGGACAAATCTTTACAAGCTGGACCTTTAATCCGGGTATCATCAAATACGAGTGTGCAAAGAAGACATACCGAAAACCATCTTTTGAACACACAACGATCACTACGAATTTTTTCTTTCTTCAACAGAAGGTGAAATATCTTGGGCATATCATATAAAAGGAAGGTGTGGTAGTGGACCCCTCCAAAATTGGAGCAATGCAGAATTGGCTGACCTCGAGGAACATAAAATTGCTACGTGGCTTTCTCGGTTTAATAGGCTTCTACCGCAAGTTCGTAAAAAAGATAGAAAGATCAGTGCACCACTTACTTCCTTGCTGAAAAAAGATGCTTTTCAATGGTTGGACAAAGCCACCACTGCATTCATCAAACTTAAAGCCGCAATGACGACAACACTCGCACTAGCGCTACTAGACTTCGGCAAGACTTTCGTTATTGATGTCGATGCCTCCGGAGTCGGAATTGGTATTGTACTAATGTAAGATGGCCACCCCCTCGCTTATACTAGTAAGGCATTATCTCCTTCTTATCTCAAAATGACTATTTATGATAAGGAGATACTCGCGATTGTGCATGCGGTGGCCAAATAGAGATCGTACTTGATCGAACGACGCTTTCAAATCAAGATCGACCAGAAAAGCCTAAAATATTTCTTAGAGCAAAAGATATCTTCCCCCGAGCAGCAAAAATGGGTAACAAAGCTTCTTGGATATGATTATGAAATAACTTACAAAAAGGGGAAAGAGAATATTGTTGCAGATGCGCTTTCACGGCTACCCAAGCAAGCTGAATTTTTGACCATTTCACTTTCGACTAGCAACATCCCTAAGGATATTAAGAGGGAATGGTAGGAAGATCCGGAGACTAGTAAGATTATAAAAAAAAAATGGAGGAAGCGCCAAGCTCCGTGGCTCATTACAATTGGGACTCAAAAAAATTATGCTATAAGGGCACTAAATTGTAAAGGAGTATAGCGTATCACCCGCAAACCGACGGTTAGATGGAAGTGATAAACAGGTGCTTGGAGACAGCTCAAAGCCACCCACCAAATATGACTACCTAAGGAGAACTCCATACCCAGTCGAGTGCCATTATTGATCGACAAATCTTGACTCGACGACGACGACCCACTATTGAAGTGCTAATACGGTGGGTGAACTTACCAGTAGAAGGTGCCACTTGGGAGAACTATGACAACTTGAAGATCAAATTCTCAGAATTCATGGATTGTCAGCCTCGAGGACAAGGCTGATTTGAAGAGGGCGGGTCTGTTAGGACTCTAACTAGGAGAGTCCTAATTGAGAGGGGCATTCTTGTAAAGCCGACCTCTATTAAAGAGGTGAAGAGGCTGACTAGGGTTTGAAGGTTATTTCTTAGAGAAGAATTAGGAGTTGTAAAGGAATAGGAGTTGTAAAGGAACTTACTAGCAGAAGGTGCCACTTGGGAGAACTATGATGACTTGAAGATCAAATTCCCAAAATTCATAGATTGTCAGCCTTGAGGACAAGACTGATTTGAAGAGGGCGGGTATGTTAGGACTTTAACTTGGAGAGTCCTAATTGAGAGGGGGCATTATTGTAAAACCTATCTAAGTCGACCCCTATTAAAGAGGTGAAGAGACCGTCTAGGGTTTGAAGGTTATTTCTTAGAGAAGAATTAGGAGTTGT